GACCCCAGAATGGCAGTCAGATTTATCCTTGGATCAAGCAGTTATTACCCTACATTGAAAGATTATATCCTTGAATATTCTGTTTTTGCAAGTATGCATCTAGTAGCTGTTTGAACATCTGTATGGACTCTGATAAAACCACTTCTTCAGGCAGAGAATTCCACATCCGGATTGTTCTTACAGTAAAAAAACCTTTCCTTTGCCTAAATTTTAAATGTTTATCCAAAAATATGAAATCATTTGAAATGCGTATTTAAAAATATTAAATCAAGGTCCATATTAGTTCCTGATTACTAAGTAATATCCTGAGGCTGTTTGCTCAGACATGCTCACCCGTGCAGGCTGGTTGTATCACAGATTGCAACATACTGTACTTTGACAAAAAGAAATACATATTTGATTAAGGCACGTAAGTAGAACAAGTGTCACTGAGGAGCCAAACAGAGATGAACCAAGTTAGTCTACTAAGAGAGGGGTAACCTCAAAACAGCAATTAATTAATCTGGTCAATTGGACACAGTAATTATATATTTGTGCCTGCGTGCTTTTCTAGAGAAATAGCAGATTGTGGTGTTATATTTCTGAAGCTTTATCATTTTAACCTTTAACGGACCACTATAGGCAAACAGACCACTTCAGCTTAATGAAGTGGTCTGCGTGCCAGGTCCAGCTAGGGTTAACCCTTTTTTCTATAAACATAGCAGTTTCCGAGAAACTGCTATGTTTATGTTAGGATTAATCCAGCCTCTAGTGGCTGTCTCTTGACAGCCGCTAGAGGTGCTTGCGTGCTTCTCACTGTGATTTTCACAGTAAGAAGACGCCAGCATCCATAGGAAAGCATTGTAAATGCTTTCCTATGAGACTGGCTGAATGCTCGCACAGCTCTTGCCGTGCATGCGCATTCACCCGAAGAGGAGGAGAGGAGGCGGAGAGGAGGAGGAGAGCTCCCCACCCGGCACTGGAGAAAGAGGTAAGTTTAACCCTTTCCTCACCCCAGAGCCCGGCGGGAGGGGGACCGCGAGTATGTTTTCTTGGCACTATAGTGGTCCTTTAAGGCACTTATTAATTCTTTTTTATACTTTTTGGGCTTGCAATGCATTCTTACTTCCTAAGGAGTAGCTAATCTTGCAAATGCACACACTGCAGTACCTATATACCAACCACAAGGTCACAGATTTGAGTAGTTGTAAGGATTGGTCTTGATCTTCATTCTTCTTAGGTTGATATGATTAGCACCATTCATTAGCCACTAATCTGGCTGTCTGCGAGTGTGAAGTTTATATATTTAAAAGGATACTCTTAGCACCATAACCTCTACGCTGTGCTGTAGTGCTTATGGTGTTATGGCTCTCCTGCTGTTGGCCCAGTGTCAAACTGTTTACGATTGTTTTGACACTTACTGGCTCTAACTGGTGCCCTTGCTCCTTCCAATCTGCAAAGATATGCTGAAGTGGAGGATCATACTTCTGTATTAGCTTACCAACTTTGGACATAATTTATATACTGAGAGCGTCTAATCTGAATTTATAACCCATCGTTTACAAATGCTTTAACATTTATTTATAACTGCTCGACTATTTGGATTTTAGGGATTACAGCAATCAATCCGAGATTAAAGAAACACTCCATCCAAGCACTATAACCACTATAGCTCAGTTGCCGTAAAAGAATGAGATAGACTATGCTACAGAGAGAGATGCACAAAATAAAAATTGGGTTGAATGAGAGGCGTGAGGGTGCTGAAAGATACGTAGAGACTGCAAGACAGGGGAACTGGAATAAAACTCTGGGTCGTAGAAAGATATGGGACAAAATGCTGTTTTGGTCTAAAATTTGAAATTCTCTAGGGAATTCCTGACATTTTTAGCCAATAACCCTTTTATTTTACCCAAACCTAGGAGTCATCTGCTTGTGGGCCCCGTCCTCTCATGTTTAAACCCCCAGTGTTGGCAATTAATAAGCACAGCTTATGGAAACCAGCTCATAAGTGGCACAGATATGCTGCCCTTCCGTGCCCTACTTAAACATGGCGCAGCCTAACATTTAAAATTCACTGGCCATCTCCATAATCATTCTGATCCTTTACACTTGGTGGTCATGATTAAAGACCGAACAATCACACTGATAGGTTATCACTAAACCACGACTGTGACGAAACAGGAAATTGTACTTCTTGGGCCAAATAGACAAAAAGGAAAAAATATACAAATATGCAATTTCCCAAATCAATTATTTTAACCAATATTTTTGGGTCACGTCTTCATGATTCCTGGTTTAACGAGTAAACCCTGACAATATAACCGTGTGGCCCCAGTCCCTGGCGCGGGGTGTCAATAAAATATTTTAGTTTGTTTACTAGATTACTCTATGAATGGATGAGAGATTTCAAATTCTGAGTCCATATAATTCTTTCATTTTTTATTTTTGCTTTCTTTGACTTTGTAACGAATACAAGTAAACAAAAGCATTTGGTATGATATAAAAATTAATGGCTGGGGGTCCTGGCCGACTACGAAGCTGAACAGTCGCATATCTGTGGAGCTCCGGTTCGGCCCCACAGATTAAGAGTCTTTCTATAGAGAAATCTGCTCCAGAAACGCACAGCTTACCTGCCACCCAACAGCTGACAACGTGGGACACAAGCACAGAAAGCAAATCCACATGGAGCGACTCGTGGCACCCGACATCAGACTTGCATTTCAGAGGCCTACACAGCCGCTGCCTGCCAAGATGGAGCCGGAACCGCAGAGTGAGCTGGAGACCTCTGACGAATCCCAAGAAGAGAGGAAATCCCAAGCCTCACCGCAACCGGGTGATAACCTTCGCAAGTCTGATTCAGAGGATGATGATTCCCCATCCACAAAGGGGGACATCAAAAAGCTGCTGACAGACCTGAGACTGGTCTGGAAGGCCGACCTAAAGGAGACCCAAGTAGAAATAAGGGCCCAACAGCGGAGAGTACAAGAGGTGAAGGACAAGAGAAATCCAGAGATAGGCAACTCCAAGACATCAAGCAGCAACTAGACGGACTTACCAAGCAGGTCCAGCACCTACACAGAATGGTGGTCTCACTAGAGTCCAGTGACATACGCCTCAGGGGCATCCCTGAAACAGTAGGCGGAGAAGACCTACTGCCCTTTGTTCGGAGGCTTACTTCCTCCATGGGCCTCAGGTGTAACTCAGGCACCCCACTAGTTTTATCCACCTTCCAGGTGCGCAAATCGCCAGCAGCACCTGCAGGTGCCCCCAGAGACACCATAGCTACTACCAGAGACGTAGCAGCAAAGGCCGCCATCATGGCCAGTTCTAGACCATTTGGGGGACTGTGAAATTTGAGGCATGTGATGTAGCCATGTATAGTGATCTCCCATTTTCTGTCCTTGCCGCAAGGAGGCAACTGGCACCGGTTACTAAGAGACTGAGAGAGCACTCCGTCTGTTACTGATGGGGGACTGAAGGCTCACTTGTGGTACAACAGGGCACCGACATACTCACACTCTCTCCTGAAGAAGACCCAGAGACATTCCTCAAAAGTCTGGGCATGCTATCCAACAACAAAAAACAACTCTCTCTTTAAAGGGATAGTGAGTGATACTCTTAAGTGCCTAAACAGAAAAAGCAGCTCAACACAAAAAGTGGAATACCCTTTGTCCACAGTAAACTATAAATATTAAAAGAAAATGGTATAGACTTTATACCAGCAAGTGGAGCGCTATAACAATATGTAAAATAGATGGGTACACTCACCCCTTCAGTACAGTGACAATGTTGAAGATATACACTTGAATGTACATGTGAAAAGAGACAAAAGAAAAATACAGTGCAGATGTTTTTCAAATACAGATATATGATATTAACAAGTAACTAGAACCACTCACATGGACTGGAGCCTATGTGGTATTGGCTCCGTAAATAGATCCTTTATGCTTTTTGGGCAGCAACACACCCATTGTACCGAACAATATTCCTCCAGGGATATAGAATGAGAAAGAGACAAACCAGATGTCTAGGTAGAATGTTGGTGATAATGGTTGTGCTCTGTTCAAGGTGAGTGAGGCCTTCCAAAACAAGGGCTTTCTGCCAGACCCCATCCCAGCAGTGAGGCATTCAGCACTTCTTTAAGGCTCTTAGTATGTGGCAGAAATTCCTGTAAAGGAAATATTTCTGTTTACTATACAGTGCTCTGTTCAAGGTGAGCACAACCATTATCACCAGCATTATCGGAACATGCAACGTGGTGCCTCTCAGTGCTATTGTGCATTGTTCACTGATGCCATGATTGTTGTTGTGTTTGCAAACCCAACGCGTTGTAACTTGTTCCTGTTATATCTCATACAATGGAAAAGCGTATACTGTTTACAAACTCCAATAAAAAATAAATAAATAAAAATAAATAAAAATATAAATAAAAATAAATAAATAAATACAAATTGAATGGCCTAGAAATGGTTTTCTAAGAAAAAGAACAAGAAATGTTATTTATGTAGCGCTGCAAAGATATAAAACGGATGAAATATAAATCAAGATAAAATATAATACTGCAATTTACCAATACCTTGAAATCATGTGAATTGTGCAGCTCAGCTCTGTGTAATTCACTGATTCCATGACAATGTTACTGATTGCTCCTATAGTGGTAATGAGTCAGAGGCTCCAGGAAACCTCATAGAAAGTAAGATAATGTTATACTGTGTGTATTGTTTGAGTTAGACATAATTTATTATTTAATTCATTTTTATTATATTTTTTAAAATTATTTTTTAGTAGATATTATTTGATATAAATTTGATTTGGTATGAAATCTGGGGCACATTCTCTATGAATTATTATCATTCTGCCCATGTCGATCCCTAAAAATAAAATAAAACAGAAAGTAAAAACCTTCTGGCCAGGAAGAGGTTAACAGCCCCCCCCCCTCCTCCCTCCTCCCTCCTCCCTCCTCCCTCCTCCCTCCTAGGAGATCAGCTGACTCTCAGGAAGGGGCGGGGCTCTGCCAGAGAGGGCTTGTCCAGCGCGCCTCCTGATTGGTCGCCTCCGATGACGCCAGCGATCCGTTCCTGCAGACGCCCACCGCGGTGACGTCAGCGCAGCCCCAGCGTTTTGTTTGCGTCGCCGGAGCGCAGTGTGGATCCGGTGACACCGGGAGTAACGGCACGTACCGGACAGCGTACTGCGTCATCACCGCGCGCCCCGCCATGGAGGGCTTGGTAACCAGCGACAAGAAGCGGTAGGTGACCGTCCGGGGCCCAGCCAGGGGGCGCTAGACCAGGCCCAGCCCGCAAGGCATCATGGGAGTAGGAGTCCTACAGCTGGCTCTACCTGGCCCCCACCTGTTTATACTAACCTGGAGCATGACCCCCAGCAACGGCACCTCCCACAGCAGGGGGTCTCCCCCCCCCACCCTCACAGCAGGGGGTCTCCCCCCCCCACCCTCACAGCAGGGGGTCTCCCCCCCCCACCCTCACCCCCCCCCACCCTCACGGCGAGGTCTCTCCCCCCACCCTCACAGCAGGGTCTCTCTCCCCCCCCCCTCACAGCAGGGTCTCTCCCCTCACAGCAGGGGTCTCTCTCCCCTCTGGCAGGGGTCTCTCCCCCCTCACGCCCAGGGTCTCTCTCCCCCTCACAGCAGGGGTCTCTCTCCCCCCCCCCCTCACAGCATGGTCTCTCTCCCCCCCTCACAGCAGGGTCTCTCTCCCCCCCCCCCTCACAGCAGGGTCTCTCTCCCCCCCCTCACAGCAGGGTCTCTCCCCCCCCTCACAGCAGGATCTCTCCCCCCCTCACAGCAGGGGTCTCTCCTCCCCTCACAGCAGGATTCTCTCCCCCCCTCACAGCTTGGGGTCTCTCTCCCCCCCTCACAGCAGCGGGGGTCTCCCCCCCACCCTCACAGCGGGTCTCTCCCCCCCACCCTCACAGCAGGGTCTCTCTTCCCCCCTCCTGGCAGGGTCTCTCCTGCATGGGGTCTCTCCCCCCCACCCTCACAGCGGGGTCTCTCTCCCCCCTGCTGTAGGGTCCTCTACCCCTCACAGCAGGGTCTCTCCCCCCCCCTCACAGCAGGGTCTCTCTCCCCCTCACAGCCAGGGTCTCTCTCCCCCCTCACAGCGGGTCTCTTCCCCCCTCACAAGCTGGGGTCTCTCTCCCCCTCACAGCAGGGTCCTGCCACCTCACAGCAGGGGTCTCTCCTCCCCCCCTCACAGTAGGGTCTCTCACTCCCCCTCACAGCAGGGTCTCTCCCACTCCCCCCTCACGCTTGAGGTCTCTCACTCCCCACAGCAGGATTCTCCCTCCCTCTGGCAGGGTCTCGCTCCCCCCTCCCCTCACAGAAGGGTCTCTCACTCTCCCCCCAAAGGTCTTGGTTATTGATCAGATTTGACCATTGAACCCTTATCTTTCCTCCCCAAACCTGTACTTCTAACTCACAGCTCGGAGTTTACTTGAGAGCTGATTGAGCTCCCCTCCCCCACATCCCAAAAATGATAGCTTACAATAGTTGTGTTTGGGTGTTTGATTTGTACCCCAAGGTATTGGGGGATTGTGCTGACTTTACCCCAAATTGAAGCAGAATTGGTCTGGGGTTAGTGAGGCCTTCCAAAACAAGGGCTTTCTGCCAGGCCCCATCCCAGCAGTGGGGCATTCAGCACTTCTTTAAGGCTCTTAGTATGTGGCAGAACTTCCTGTAAAGGAAATGTATTTCTGTTTACTATACAGTGGGTTAAAATCCAGTGAGGTGCAGAGATGACCCATAACAGATAATGTTATGTGAGAAGTTCTGGGAATGGAATGTGAATTCAAAGTGAATTTTAAATTTAAGGCCAAAATAGCTAAACTGGATACGGGATTCCCATTGATCATGTTTTCCGTTTTGGCTTACATTTTGAATTCTTGGCAATTCTCACTTTAATTACACATTTATTTGACTTTACCATTGATGTCATTCTAGCTATTACTTGTCTGGGTTAACCACGTTGGCTGTTTCTGCAAGTAGGGCTAGTGAAGAAAGTTGCTTAATTCTTGCTCTCATGCATTAGCGATCATCATTTTCTGTTCATTATATATATTTTTTGTTTGGATAGCTTTTGATTTTTAATTCTGTGGATGCATCCGGTTTGGTGTTTGAAAAAAAAATAAAATAATAATTTGTAGGCCTTGCTAGCAAAGCATTCGCAAAGAGATTGTACGTTTAATGTGAAACAGAGCTTCCTCTGTAATTTCCAAAATGTGATTCACACTTACTTCAAATAATTTTTATTGAACAATACAACATTGTGAATTCTAACTATATATGTTTGCTGAAATTAATTTTAATGTTTTGTTTAATTTCTTTCTAAGGGAAATAGCATTGTTCATTCCGAACACTGAGTTTAACCCCTTAAGGACACATGACATGTGACATGTCATGATTCCCTTTTATTCCAGAAGTTTGGTCCTTAAGGGGTTAAATATGTAATTGCTAATACTACCCTAAATATGAATGAGGTGTTCAACAACAAAACCTTGAAAAGCATACCGTTGACAAGGAAGTGCACATTTTAGGTCAAATAATAGAATTGTAATATTTCTCAAATTGGTCTTTACAACCTGCAATATTATAAGAATTTGTGAGCATAAAATTTAGATACTATGTAATGTTATGGTCTGAAAGTTCACTGCTTAGTAAATCTTGTGGCTCTTTCGGTTTGTTTTTTATTTTTACAGTGTTACAAATGTGGAATTTAAGCACACTTTGTTTATAAATGTTGGTGTATAAAGCGAGGGTACAGAGGTGTTTCAATGATCGTACATTTCTTTTCTACATTATATTGTCATTTCTGTATGGAATTATTTGCAGCCTCCATTTTCTGATTGTCACATTCATAGATACAGACACTCTGAGATAACCTTGACCTTGATTCTTTGTAAGCTTTACAAGTTGTGATACATTTGTTCCTCTGGGGGCTGTGTCTTGAAAGCTGGTCACAGGATTAGAAACCTTTTGTTTTATTAAGAGGCATCCCCTTAACCAAATCCTACTTTCTAATTGATTATACCTGGAGAAGTGTGTTTTTTTTTTTTTTGCAGCAGTTTTTGTCTTTTGCTATTATTATTTGCAAGATAGTTTACCTGTTCATTTCCTGCAGACACCACACTTACATGGCACGTTCACACTTGGCGATATGAGTTAAAGAAATATATGAAATACTTCACTGGTGTCCAAAAGGTAGACCCCCAGCTGTAACTACCACCCTGATAATGCTTTGCCAGCCTTGGGGGGTATACATTTTAGGGACCCCTGAACTACATTTTTATGATGCCCTCAAGGCTTTAACTCCCCTGTCTGCATTTTTTTCCTGTGGTTCTAATGCAGTAAAAACATGCCTGCAGATTGTGACATTTAGCGATATGATACATTGTTTCATGCTATTCTTACATGTTAATTTAACATATGCTGGTTTTTCTATGGGATGGGGGGGAGAATCTGGAAGACAAACACACACAAAAACAAAACCAAAAGAGATTATCAAAAATGAAATGATCACACAAGCTCCATCTGCAGGAATGGGCTCCAATATCTCAAAGTACTTCCATTCTATTCAGTGGGACAGTAGTGCATACCTTCTAAAATCTTGTACCGGAGGAGTTTGTGGGATATGTAGTTGTGCCCTCCAGATGGTAGTATGCTGGTAGACTAAGCCCAGGAGTGTAGATAAACCTGCTGAATTACAACTGAAAGTTAGACTTGTTTTACATGTGCGGTGATTAAAACTACATGGGCTACAATTACTTTTTGTTTAAAGGACCTGCTGGGTCTCTAGACATGGGGAATCCTAGCGATAGTTGTCAGCCAAAGGTCAGGACAGGTGGAGGTGGCTCACTTTAAATAGACCAAGATTCTGCTACCTGGTGATCTGGGAGAACGTTAAAAAGATCATGGCAAAAATAAGGAATAGCAGGGAGTGAGTACTAAAGCTAGGTTGTCTGCTCTGAAACTCGGGAACAATTGAGCAAAGAATTGCTGTTTTTGGCAATGCTTGTCGTGAAGGTAGCGGAAATGATACTTTATTGTAGCAAGCCTGCACCACTCGCGTGTATTGCACGGGCAATGCCAAGCATGGTCAGTTTAAGTAGTTTCCTGGAAACCTTCTTCCAGAAGATTACATTTCCTGTGAGTCATGTACAGTAGTTGCTCCCTGCACTTTCTGGGGTGAAGGATTTAGTTTTCAAACTATGAGGAGATGGTAGTGCAGTGTTTGAAGGGAAGAATTCTTTACAGCAGCTTTGACCAGGGAACTGTGGAAAAACATAACTGAGTTATTCACTAAAGGGAGAATTAAAAGGGTAATTTCAAATTTGAGGTCCTTTCTCACTTAAGTGACTAACCCTGAGTGTATTCTATAGGAGTTGGCTCATATGAAATAAATTGCTACAGGAGAATTCACGTTATTTACCACAAAACATCTTGAAATGTACAAGTTTCTTAGGGCACATACAGGACATTAAGGTGAGATGCGGACTTGGACCCCATTTTTACTGTATAGTTGTGCCTTCAGTTGTGCTTAGCAAGAGCTGTGATGGTTTTGAGCCCCAGGATGTGTTGTTCTGAGTAGGGAGAAAGTGCAAGTGTTTGTCGCAACCCTCTCAGAATATTTAATGAACAAGGGAAGATTGTAAAATGAAATTCCTATTTTATTGGAAAGGGGGCATCTTGGTTGGTGCTTCTGATTGTTTTATTTAATCACAGCAAGTTTGGTGACCCACATGTCTTGTAGATATGTTGTGTAAGATCTTGAGCATTATGCCAAAGTCTGGTACGTACAGTCTGAACATTCACTGTGACATGCAGCATATATTATTGCACAGAAGACTATTTTCTGATTGAACTGGAAATCTTGTTGGAAGAAAAAAATGAACCGATGTGAGTTTCTTGGCAATGATAGTGTGCCATCTTAGTCGGTGTTTGCGATGTCTTGGAGAGTGCGAAGTCTTCTATAGCTGTCTGAAATATGGGTCTAGGCTCTTGAAGGATTTGCTGCTGCTGTGGAAGTCCTGGGGACCGGGAAAGAGCCTTTCATTTTGGAATACAGCAAATTTTCTCATTATTTTTTTATTTTATTTTTTAATTCTTTATTTTGTTGTGCATAGCTTTTTCAAACAAGTATGTGCTGCCATTTCAGTGGTAAGAGGCTTAGAAATATGTTTAGAAAGACAATTACATGGCATAGAGGTAAGAAGCACATTTTCCACTAAGGAATAACAGGAAAATGTAACAGTTAGGTTAGTCACAGTGGAGTTGTTCTAGCTGTGCGTGGTGTTTGGCTATGTAGTCTGTGTGATACGTTGCAGTCTACTGTGGGACTAGCTGGGCGTGGTGGGGTGTACATGTTGGGCAGGCGTGGTAGTTTAAAGGCACTACAATGGCTTGTGTCTGGGTGGTCGTATGCTCTCAGGAATGGCATCGTGGGTGTTTTTAGGCTTCCATGCTCGTATCTATCCTGCTGTGAGTGTAGTAAGCCGGATGCATGGGTATTGTGATAATTTCTGGTGTAGCTGGACCTTGGGCTGTGCTGGGGGTGTCTTGCTCTGCCTTTGCATTGAGGTAAGGGAACCCTAACCGGGGGGGGGCGGGAGATGTATGATTATGTGTCTTCAGGTAGCCCCATGTCCACGTGGGTCGCAGACCTGGGGACCTGAGTGTCAGTGGGATAGTCAGATCAAAAGGAAAAGAAATATTAAATTATAGTAAAAAGCATAATGAACATGAAACATTAACATAATATTGGAGGCTTTCTCCTTCGTTGGGATGAGGACGGTGTGGGATATCAGTCAGTCTTAATCATATCTTGGGTTTTGCCAACCGGTTTGTATTTACGGACCCTGTGCACCTAGTCCACTCGTTCCCAGGGCGTGAGGAGAGGCGATCATGTGTTCTGTGTGCTCTCCATGGCGTTTCGGGGTCTGGTTCGGCAAGCCAAGGGTTTTCAGATATTTGGAGGCTCCCTCAGGTGATGTGAGGACTTGTGTTGTCCCTGCGTGGGTAACTTCCATGGAGCCCCTGCACCCCACCTGTAGGCTATACCTGCAGCGTGTAGCTGTGTTGCTGCCAGGCCGTATGACTTGAGCCACAGTAGTGTGGCCCTAGATAAGTCATGGTAGAAGGTCAGCTCTGAGTCTTCGAAGGGTAGTGGCATTCGGTCTTTAAGCGCCGCCATGATATGGAGCTTGTCCTGTCTTAAGATGACGGCTCGTGCTGCCGGTGATTTCAGGTGAGTGTAGGTCGGGAACCGGTAGATTCCGTCTATGGCGATTTTCTTTGCAGCTGCATGGGGAAGTATGCTGGCCAGGAGGCGCCTAACGTAATGAGGCAGGCCTCGGCTTTGCGTTTCCGCTTGGGGAGCTTGTGGGGTTGAAAAAACGGCATCTATCAGTGCCTCTTGCCTTGCTGATCCTTGCTGTGTGGGTGGTAAGGCTGGATGGGTGCCAGTTTTGCGGCTATTGCCTGGATTAGATTGTTTAGTTGGGAGTGAATGGAAATGGCGTCTGGTGCCGTGTGATAGCAGGCTCCGCCCCCCAATTTTCTCTTTGTCATTGTCGCGCACCCTTCTTGAAGCTGTGCATGTTTATAGCGACTCCTAGAAGCCTCTTTTGTGTTTTTAATGGCATGCACTTTCCAAGGTTTGCTTACAAGTTTGAATAATTGAGCTAAGACCCCATTGATTTGGTTTTGGGGAATCTGCATACAAGGGAGGTACACTGACATGTTGTTTATGTGCTGTGAGAAGTCTCTGAAATTGTTTTTGTAAAATCATTGAAATGTGACTGGCATCTAAAACGCCATCTACCATTTATCTGCTTTCTGGGCTCTGACATGACTTTATACTCTTCTTCGATCTGTCTTGCATATTGTGTTTGCTATGTGCCGTGAGTACACGGCTCCATCCTTCGTGCCAGCTTGTGCAAATAAAATAGGACGGAGACTTTTTCAATCCTGGCTTGGTTGGGTTTATCCTCTGTTTAAAGGGAAACGGTTACCAGGCACAGAGTTAATCAAATCTATTGGATTAGACATGGGCTACTTCCTTTACAAAGATACCAGAAAAGTTTGTATAGGATTACTTGCCTCGCAATTTCCACTAGCCATTTGTGACTGAAAATGTGGCTTTGGGGAGAGTAGAAATTTACCCCATGTTAAAGGACCACTATAGTGCTCTGAGGGTGCCCCCACCCCCAGGGTGGCGCTGAAGGGGGAGGAACGGGTTAATCCCTTACCTTTTCCCCCTCGGTGCTGGGGACTCTCGTCCCTAGCTGAATGCGATTGCGCGCCCTTTCAGCCAGTCCATAGCAAAGCAATCTCAATGCTTTCCTATGGACGCTGTCGTCTTCTCGCTGTGAAAATCACAGTGAGAAGCGCGGAAGCACCTCTAGCTGCTGTCAATGAGACAGACATTAGAGGCTGGATTAACCCATAGGTAAACATAGCAGCTTCCCTGAAACTGCTATGTTTACAGCAAAAAGGGTTAAACCTAGCTGGACCTGGCACCCAGACCACTTTATTAAGCTGAAGTGGTCTGGGTGCCTATAGTGGTCCTTTTAAGTATATTTATGAATTCGCCAGAGTTGCAGTTTCAAGTAACTTTTTTTAATGCCTGGCTAGTAGTGAAATTACAAGCCCTGTAGGAAACCTACATATATTGTTCAGTGGAAACATTATGAGGTTGAGGTTGTTTGTTTATCGCGCCAACAGATTCCGTAGCACTTTACAATATTAAAAGAGGGGGCATTTAACTATAGGACAATTACAAGATAATTTTGTTGAAAAAAGACCCTGCTCAAACAAGCTTACAGTCTAGAGGAGGTGGGGTATAAAACACAATAGGACAGGAGATCGCAATCAAGTTTGGAGTGAAGCAGAGCTGGAGGATAGAGTAGAGTGCTGCCCTTTAGGAGAGAGCAAGAGACAGGTATGTAAGGTAGGTGTTACTCTGGGAGGCCATAAGCTTTTCTAAAGAGATGGGTTTTGAGGCACTTCTTAAACGATTGAAAACTAGGGAAGAGTCTGATGGTAGGCATGCTTTTCCATAGGAAGGGAGCCGCCCGCGAGAAGTCCTGCAAGCGTGAGTTGGCTGTACGGGTGCGAGCAGCGGACAGAAGGTCACGAGGGGAGCGATGAAGTCCTCATGGGAAGCTGTGCTTCCTGTAAAATGATATAGAGTAGACAAGAATAAGGTAGTTCATGTGATGTATCATTTGTCCAACACTGTACACTAATATGTATTTTAAGTGCACAAGATTTATAACTGTGCCATGTTGTACATTTCCTAGTTTCATAGTGGGAGGGGGCTGTACAGTATAAGGCGAAATCTACAAGTTGTTTTTTTTTTTTTGTTTGTTTTGTTTCCTGTTTATTATGCATTATGGAATGGCGCATTATGGAATGGCGCATTAAAACCCAAGATTGCTCTTGAATCTTTCTCTGAAATCAGATAACAGGTTTACTTTTGTTTAATTTTTGGCCTTTTAAAACTGCAGATTCTCTCTGGATTGGTGTGTCTCACTGCTGTACATATCTATCTGTGTATTTGAATGGCCAACTATGGAAATACAAGCAGTAGTGTAGGTGTCAAAGTATAACCGCCTCTATATTGCACATACTTCTAATCACATCTAGTGGACATATCTAAAAAATAAGCCATCACTTCAGCTTAGTCCCTTTTTTTTTTTTTTTTTGCTTCATTTATTCTCTTTAAAAAAAATAAAATAAAAAATGTATTTTAAATTTGGTATACATCAGCTCACTGTTTACATTTTTTTAAAATTTGTATTTCTTTTTATAAAAGACTGATCGAGGGTTAGCCAATGTTGCTTTATTCAGTCCAAACATTTCAGGGTTGAACTTTGAACATTTTCACACAATGCAGTATGATGCCAAATCGTGTGGTCAGTGCCCTTCTCTCAAAGTGTAATAAAGCTTAGCGTCCTGCAGCACATTTACATCTGAAATACAAGGGGATCTGGAGAAGGAACGTACATTTCATCGTGGCCTAAAACCTGTCAGATTTTTGTTTATGGTGCTGCATAGTTTCCATGTACAGTTTAATCTTGCAGTGTGTTAGTGCGTTGCACTATTGAAAATTGGGCAATCTACACTGTCGCCATCATCAGAAATTAGTGGGGTTTTTTTTTTTTTTGCTGTGCATATGGATAGTACATACAGACCTGTGGTACCCCAACGGCAATCCACAGGTTCGACAGTTTGCAAAAAAATTGAGGTACATGAGTATATAAGCACAATTTTTATAGTAGCTTGACATTTGCAGGAACATGCACAATTTTAAGGTGTTGAGAGTGACTTATAGGTTATATCGCTTAAATAGACATGAACATGAACGTATGTTAAACTAAGCTTGTCATGCATCAGAATTTCCACGGGGTCCAGGGTTTAAAGTGTCGAATGGTGTCAGCTCCTAAATTTATGGGCTCAGGTGGTACCTGCGTGTGGGTTTTTCAAAGCTGTTAGGTGTAATTACACCGGTGTGTGGGGTAGTCTATGCCTGCTCTGAGCTGTCTATTGTCGAGTTAGACAGTGTGAGGGTGTGTGAGGTGTGGTATAGCAGGTGTAGAGTGGTACATAAGGGCAGAGATTTTGGCACTGCAGTTAGGGGGTTTAAGTCCCGCGTCAGCCGACACCTCTGCTTGGTGGTAGGCTCTGGTGGCAGAGTGTGTTCAGGTGGGGTCCCCCAGTGCCCTGGGCCGTCATGAAGGCCTGCATCCTCCAGTCTTGAACTAGGGCTCTCTTGCAGGAGGCCAAGTTCTGCCCTTGTGAGGGGCCGCAGCTTGTCCCGATGGGGTGACTGTCTCTGTGGCGTTGGTTCAGCTGCTTCTGTGACCGATGCTTTGGGGCTGGTCTTCAGCCCAGGTGTGCCCATTGTGGGAGGCTTGGAGCTTGCGTTATAGGGATTTCCCAGGGGGGATCTGCTTTCAGCCCGCCCCACGTCGCCCCGCTTACTTTGCGTTGCTAGTGCCGTTTGTTGTACTGTGGATTCTGCAGGTTCATCCTGGAGGCAGTCGGTGAGTGCGGGTACAGTTTGCGTTGAGGGCACTCGTCAGTTCCGAGTCCTCTCGCCATTTAGGCATGCACATGGCTGGAGAGCGTCGGCCATCTTGTGGTGAGCCACCCTGCTTGCACTTCGCTGGAGGGCTGGTTCTGGAGCTGTGTGGTAGCCCTGGGTTGTTGCCCGTGGGGACTGGGATAGCCCCCAACGGTCCGGGGGGGCGGGGGGGATGGGAGGGAGACAGCGATACACCGGCCGGAGACCTGGGGGAGCGGCCATCTCACCCCAGCTCAAGCTCGTCCGGCGACTCTGAAGTCGGGTCGAGAGTGGTACCAGCGTGTTCAGCACCGGCTTGTGAGTAGTTTGGTTGTTGTTGTGGGTCAGTGCCCTTTTGTGTCTCAGGATTAGCCTCCGTTTAGCCGCACAGACTCGGGAGCTCAAACAAAGCATGTCTGACACGGCCACTGGTCAGGCTCTGCCCCCCATCAGAAATTAGTTTGATGTGCTAATGACAAGTTTCTTCTGTCTTTTGTTTTGTTTATTTTTAAATTTTATTCGTCATTTATTACTACACAGCTGTATTGTAGGCACCCCAGCGCGCAAGCAGTTATATTTTATATATTGGTTACTTAATTATATATATAATAAACTTTGTTGCACGTCTATCACGCAAAGCGTCAATTGGTAAAAAATAAATTAAAAAAATGGTTACCACATTTACATGAAGTGAGGAAATGGACTGTATATAATGGGTACAAAATGGAAGGTGATCATTTCTGCCACATACTTTGCCTGTTTAATACCAATATTGATGTAATATATGGATCTCAAGTTGTTATATATTTATAAATAAAAATAAAATTTATTTTTCCCAGGGGGAAATTTAGGATTCCGGTGTGTTGTGTGGTGTTTTTTTTTATTTATTTATTAAAATTTTATTTATTTTTTATTTCTCAGCCTTTTGAGTTCACCTTCTAAAGTCTCTGTGAAAGGCTGCAGCTAGCCTATCTGAGTAATCGCCTTCCCTTTGCTTTGTGATCACACCTTGGGCTGCACTTTGTATTTTTTGCTTTTAACCTAGATTTGAAGATAGTTTTCTCAATTTAATGAACAACAGATGGCGGGTCATAAAAAGCAGTCCTAAAGTGAAATAAGTATTGAAGTGCAGCCAGTGCGCTGTAAATCATGGGAATTGAAGCCTCTGTCCCAGTGACTTGCTGTGAGAAAGTAATTGGGGATTTTAGTTATTTGCACAATGTTTTTGTTATCTTCAAACTTTGATCTGGTGTCTATTTTGCATATTATGCTGGAAAAGATCACATTGTCTCTGGAAAAGCTTATTAGATTATTTGATTTTTTTTTTTTTTTTAATTCTTTATTTTTGTGTGCATGAGAGTAACAGACATTCTTGCAGTGCCCCAACAGCAAAGGCAAGATAATGAGCTGAACAATGCATAACAGTTATAAGGCATTTGAGTATACTACACATTTTTTTTGGTGATAGGTACAGGCTAGGCAGAACATGTCTAGAGGAGATTCTAGGCGAGATCTTCTATTCTATGCATGCAAGTTCAAAGACATGTAGGTATATAAAGTTTGTAACATAGATTGTGAGACATGCTATAGGTACTGGGTTAAAGCAGTGAGACAGCAAGGTTATACCAGGCTAATGATGGGTTCTGGCGTGGGCTCTAGGTTGTCAGATGGTATGGGACCACTGGCCTCCGGGGTGCCTCAAAATTGGAGCAGTAAACAGTAAATAGTTAGCATCGCCCTTGTGTTATTGGCAGGAGAAGGAAAGTATAAGGGAAAGAGGGAGAGAGAAAAAAAAAAAAAACAAAACGAAGCAGTAATGATATGATTACAGAACATAATAGCAGGCAGTGTGGTATTGTGAGTGCCAGTCCAAGAGGAGACAACTCTGTGGTCCCCACCCTGGGAGCGATGCTTGTGCTGCGTCTGGTTCATCCGATCCCCGCTTGTGGCATATGTGGGGGTTGTGCTTGAGCATTCCGGTGATCGGTGTTGGCATAACGATGCAAGACTTCGTTTCCGCCCCAGGCTTGGATGAGTGCCTGCTTTGTTTTTATGCTGACTCTGGTGTTCGCTGGAGCCAGGCTCTTCCTTCTCTCTGGGTGAGTAGTGGGTTTAGGTTTTATGCGCCTGTGCCGGCGGGTGATCCTCCGCTTTGGCGCCTGAAGCGTGGGGGTTGTGCCCTGAGGGGTTCTCAGCCCGGGCGGGCGAGCAGACGAGTGAGTGGGCGCAGGCTTGTGTGCTTTGCCCGGGGGAGGCCTGTTTCCTCTCGGCTGCTCTGTGCTCTTAGGAAAGATTTCCCTCTTAGCCATGACTGTCTGCTCCCGCTCCAGGATCCTCCGCCAGAATCTCTGAAAAATGTCATCCAGGCGCTGCAGTGTAGATTCCAGGCTGCCTTGATTCTCTATGGAGGGTTGTAAGTGCTTCGTGGTCGGCAAGCAGGTAGCCGCCATATTGTGGCTTGGTGTATCAGACGTTCCTCCGGGAGCCAGTCTGTGGCAGGAGACTGTCGCCGTGCTTGTTGCCCCAGTGTGTTCGGTATGGACCGGGATATCCCCCACCGGTCCGGGGGGGGGGTGTTGGATCGCTGCCGAGCCAAATGGGGGTTTTCAAGGCGAGGAGATCGGCCGCCTCTCCCCAGCCCTCTCCCAGTAGGCCGCAGCAGCGTGGCTCAGGTCTCCCAAGGGTTACAGGCTAGATTCAGGTATCTGTGCGTATCACACGAGCTCGGCTTCCCGGTAGTGTCCCCCAGTGTCAGGGTACGTCCGATTAATCGGGGTTATCACCCCAAAGAGTGCTGAAAGCCTGGGAGCTCGAGCACCACACGTCTATCCTGCATGGATGCCAGGCTCCGCCCCCCTATTTATTTTTTTTAATTTTTTTTTTATAGTCCAATCCAAGTTAACTTTTTTCAGTCACTGGAAAATTAAGTGATATGGCCATTGTGGTATTATGTCTCCGGTATTAAATCCCTGTGTGTGTGTGGAAAAAAAAAAAAAAAAAAAAATATGTTAAAATATCTCTCCAGAAGAACTGTTTCAGGAACTACTCCAATCTCTACATTACTTCCAAAAATAAAGGGAATTGGAACCACACTAGCCGTCTTCAAATGGGAATCTCTAATGTTTTAAAAGTGGTAATACCACTTCTCCAGTAAGCTGGGACGTCAGACAGTGGTGTTTTATAAAGTGGATATTTACATCATGCCGTAAGCAGAGGTTGTGGTTTCTTTGGCAAGCTACTTGAAAATGAGTTGGCAGAACCGGAGGGATTATACCTTTTTGAGTTAATACGGTTTGGCAAACAAATGATTCTGCTGATTATCGTTTCAGGCTTTAGTTAAAGAATACCCCATAGATGTCTCCATTGATTGGACACTAATGTTTGAACTACATTATTATAGCTGTTACTTTGAATTGCCTGTACGTATTGGTTTTATTTGGCAATGGTGGCTGTGCAGAACCCCAGTGTAACGAACAGTAGTCCCCCAAAGAGCGCTCTCCCTGGTGCAACCTATGTGGAGTCATCCACCAGGGAGAGGAGCAAGCCCTAGCAGACACTCAACAACTAGCAGGCGGCTTCACAACTGCAGAGTCCCTGCCGACCAATGGGAGAAGTGCTACCATTCAAATTGGTTTTGCGCCCTTTCTCCCGATTGTCGGCAAAACCCCTCCCTGAATGCTGATTGGCCGCTACATGCTTGTGCCCTTTCTCCGGATTGACTGCTGCTTTCACCTGCCTAAACCAAGTGAACTTGTGGAACTATTTTTCGGGTATGTACAGAGCCTTGAGCCCAGACTTTACACAATGATTTCTTGAGCTCTGTACATCCGATAACTTCGAAATTTGCAGGGAGCATAGTTCGGATGACAGTAGCTATCCAGGTATATAGGGCATGTGGGGATGCATTACTGTGTTTTGTGGGTTTTTTTTTTTGTCTCTGCTTCTTGTGCCTGGGAGATACCATTATCCCCCAGACACAGTGACGCCGGGGTGGGCTTATGTTTTACATTACTGTGAATGGAAACCCCGGCGAGGGTCTGTGCATAAATACTGTGCATTTGATAAACAGATCAAGTCTAGGCTGATGTTTGGGTAACCAAGAGCTCTAATCACTGCTTTGCTTGAGAAATGGGATAATCACAACATATATATTCAGTCGGAGTATAAGGGATCCGTTACGCCCAGTGTCACTAAATCGGAGTTGGATATTTGGTGCTGGGACCTTCTTTTTAAGGACAAGAATAACAGAGCTTTGTTGAACCGGGTTTTTTTTGTTTTTTTTTAAAATACATTTTTCCTCCAGATATTTTTGCTATACATTCTATCAAATCATGAATAGAGGGGTAGGTGGAATATCAGTATTGCAATTGTAGTATGTGGCTACTGAAACTTCCCAAAAACCAGAGTCTCTTCTTTTCTGGTGGTACAATGGATGTAGGTAGTAGGATCAGGGAGCAGTGCCTGTGAAGGAATTCCCACGCTCAGAGCGATAAGGAAGAGGGAAGGAAAAAGACACGGATATAGTGTAGTATATTGAGATCTTAAGTGATGGTAAATGAAGGGAAAGGAAATGCACTTACAATTTTCTGAACCCTATACTTCGTTCCAGATATGTGCGCCTGGACGGTACAATCCCTGCCTATGGATATGTAGATGGTCCTTGGATGTCCTCAAAAAGGGGGTCTCCAGTGGTGGTAGGGTATATCTCCTTTCCAATGGCAGTAGGCCGGTATTCAAATAGTTGTTGATATATAAAAAGGATAAAAACACAAAATAGTGCTCTCTGCATAATGCAAAATAAAATGATTAAAAATAAATAAAAATGGAGGTATACTCACAAGTGAAGAGCAAATAGGATATTGCTCAATATATGTAGACGTAGGTAGTATGATCCCCACCAAGGATATCACTCCTCGAGTTCTCCAGTGGGGGTGTTGGAGAGAGTAAAAGGAATTATATATTATAAAATAGAATAAACAGGATAGGATCGGAGGCTCCAATAGCATAAATGAGCTATCTTTAGTGGAGATAAAAAAAAAATAGTAACATAAAACAACTTTAAAAGACACCAACGCGTTTCTCCTGCAAAGCCTCTTTGCAGAAGAAACGCGTTAGTGCATTTCCTTTCCCTTCATTTACCATCACTTAAGATCTCAATATACTACACTATATCCATGTCTTTTTCCTTCTCTACTCCATATCTCTCTGAGCGTGGGAATTCCTTCACAGGTGCTGCTCCCTGATCCTATTACATTCTTTCAAATCATGTTTGCTGTTGCCTGGCCAAAAACTATGGAATTTGTAGACAGACAACTGGAGGGCAGTGGTTAGACTCTGCTTGTATAAGAAAACATTGGTTGTTGGTGGGGGGGGTAATTGGGAATAGGTTGGCAAAGCTGTGAACATTTGCAAGTATTACATCACTTTATTTTGAATCAAAATGTTGTTTTGAAATGGAGTAACTCAGGGTTTAAGTGGTGTCTCACTTTGATTTTTAAGATGTATAGTTATTTGCTCCTTTACAGGGACGTCCATCACTTGACAATTCTTTTTTTAAACTAACAAGCGCAAACACTTTTAAAAATAAATATACAAACCAAAATAAAGCAAGAGAAGTATGTAATAAACTTATTGTAAACCTGGTCAGATTGCATTGTTGGGCACGCCTCTCACTAGGGGGGGGGGTTTCTACCTACACATCGATCTGTTTCAGACCAGTCCACTAGTGACAGAAATAGGGCATCATTGCACAGCAACAAGAAAGAGAACCCCAACAGTGGAGCCCGCTATGCATGATTGCACTGTCATTTCCCATCAACCTTTTCTTTACCCCCCGTCAGTAGATTGCAAGGTGAAGAGTTCTTCAAAGTGAGGCAACTGACTTATTCGAAGTTAAAGTTTCTGAATGAGACAATTGTCTCAAGCGATGCATGGCCCTTTAACATTTTATGTTATATAGACATTGAGATGTATGTTGGTCAAAGTTTGTTGATTTTATATTTACAAGTTCTGTTTTAACCTATTGGACAATAGTAAAAAGTGAAGGACACTTGGGTGCATTGTTTGATTTATCTTCCTTATATGGTCTGGTACAGTCAGACAGAAAACTACAAGGGTGATGGGCGTTACGTAACAGGCATACTTTATTTAAAAAAAAAAAAGGCTATTACTTTGCCAGCAGAATACATGTTAAAATAAATCTAGTGAAGCTCAAAGGACTAGTTACATTCCTGTTCTATTTTGTCTGTATTTTACTGTCTTGTAATGAAAGTGACCCCAGCACTGCTCCCTCCTGTAGTAATGTAAACAGACAATCTTTATTCGGGTTCATCCTTCACTTGTACTGCTCGCAGGAAATCTGACCCCTCCAGTTCCATGATTCTGGAGTCTCAACCCAAACCACCATGTGGAGCTGTCCTAACATGGTCCAGCTCCTGACAGGTTCATGTGAGGTCTGTGGTATCGGAGTTCTCCGTGTGAACCTCCGCGGAAAAACATGCCTAAATGGAAAACTGTTAGTCATTTATTTCCCTAGTCTCAGAAACGTGTATATTTGTTTGTTCTGTGCTCCGTAGTTTTTTTATTTTTTTTATTCTGAGTGATACTTTGTATGTCATTCTCACCAATGGGTCTATTATGTACAGGCTGCGCTGGTTGTGTATTGCATCGTTTACATGGTTCCCCATCAAACATCTCGAGATGAAGAAAATGGGGGGCCTTCATTTTTATGTAGCACATTGGCTGACACACTTCTAGTTTCTAGATCTGTATTATCATGCAAGGGCTCTACACCTGCAGATGATTTGGACTTTGATTCCATTCTTTCTCTAGAAAGTCTGAACTTGGGATTGCATAACTTGTTTGCTCTGCAACTCTTGCCGCTCTTTATATGAATATCAAAGAAATGGCCTGGCCTATACTGGTTGGGGCATTATATTTCTCCAAGATTGGTCTCGATTTTTAATATTGTTAGAAAAACTTTTAAAATGATCTAATACTATGAAATATTTTGATATTGAGATCCATCCATCCATCTCTATAAATAATACAATAAGCTTTACACTCCACTTGCCTGATGCTTTGTAAAAACAGGAGTGTATATACAAAATGAAAGACCCAGCACTCTAGGTCTTAAATTTATTCACGTAATTCCATGATCTAGCATAAAGGTAATATTGATGGAATTACTTGAATACATTGGCATTGAAGACCTAGAGTGCTGGTATGGATTTATCATTCTGTGTGTTTTTTAAATTGAGGCCAGTGTTGTCTGATCTGCCCTATATCATACAGAATGGTTTTTAATTATTTAGTGGGTGTTTCCTTAAAGTGGATTGTTGGTGACTCAATGGTTTTGCAACCGGAGAAAACAACTTTTTAGTTAAAAAAAATAAAAAATAAAGTTTTATATAATATCTTTTGCATGTAAAGAAAATGCCTGGAAAGATAATTCGTGTCTGAACAATGCAATGGTGTTCGGCATTGTTACAAGCAAGTTACGTGTCCCAGTTCTCTGTAATTTAAACTCTGTATTCTATTTTATGGACAAAGGAAAATTTCAAGTTATGATGATTGGACTAATATTACATTTAATCTGTACAAGAAGACCTAGCAGATAAATATTCAGGTGTACCTCTCTCTCCTCAAAGAATAAAACAATAAAATGCAGAACAATATTGATTGGATTACTGGACTGCCGGTGACTTGTCCTCTTGAGGAGTAACTTTTCTGATGGCTGGTAATTTTTACTCCCTTTCCTCGACTGGACAAGCTTACTCAAAGCAAATTTGTCATGCAGATCCTTCCTAAGTGTTTATTTGAATCATTCAGCAGTTGAATGTAGTTTTGTTATTTTCTATAAAAATAATTCCAAAATAGTTTTACTTCCTGAAATTTACAAGACCACAAAACATGACAGACGTCACACAACAATACTTTCGTTCACCAATTGTAACCAAGCTTATCTGTAAGAGCAGGCGTCTGTATCGCATCAGATTCACCCGTCTCTTTGCTACAAAGTTAGCCATGTGATATATGTGGAAACATTCAGCCAATAAAGATAGCTGCAATTTCCGTCACAACTTCCACCAGATTACCAGTTCTATCACTTGCTACGTGAGGTTGTCGGGAGTCTCAAACCTGAATCTCCTCCTCCAGTGTACTTGTTCTTTGTAGGCTTTCCCCAATCTGTTTAAAGCCAAAGTGCCGTGGATATAAGTTCACATTGAATGCTACATCAGCATATTAGAGTTTGGATGTTTGCTTCACTATGGAAGCATAGTGGCAAAAATGTATGGCTAAATATTTTTTGTTTTTCATTAAATTGTTCATCAACGCAAACTAAGTAGCTGGGTAACAAGCTGCCCAGAGCTTCCTGGTGTAGATTTTGGAATGTCTTGGTAATCATCGTGTTAATGGCTGTCTCTCTGACTGGGTAATGATGAGAATACATCTTTTGTTGAACTGTGTGGCTGCCTCCTACAGAGCTGTAACTAATATTCCACCTCACACGTTTTATTGGCTGATGTTTACATTGCCCGATGCTGATGGTTTTGTACAATATTGCTATGTATGGCGGCTGCTGAAACGAGCAAACATTCCCGCAACAGAACTGGCTTCATTCTTCCCCTGTACTTTCTTTCCTTTCCTAGTCTGCCTGGTCATCGGCAAAGTGTTTGGTTTTAATGGCCGTATCACATGTGAAAAGACTTATTTGTGGTTTTTGTGTTTGTTTATGCAGTAGTATACTGTTTGTCCCATATTTAGCTGTTCCTTTAGACAAATATGACTGAGTTGGCCACCCCATACAGCACACGCAAGCTAGGAGATGAATTGTAAAATAAGGATTCACTTCTATATGTTAATTACACAATAATAGACACAGAGGCTATAACATCTCAATAAACCCTACAATATATAAAAACATTAGTTTAATACAAACTGCTGTGTTTACATAACTCTGTACTGGAATCAAATCTTAAACAAAGCCGCACTTGATTGAAAGAGAGCGTTGTTTGGCCACACATGTATCAAATTATATACACAGACTGGGGTTTTTGCCTTCTTTTGGATTAACAGCAAAAACTTATGTGAGGAAGGCTGAACTTGATGGACGCAAGTCTCTTTTCAACTATGTAACACCATCCTGAATAAGATATGTTTTAGATATTTATCTTCTTTATTCAAAATTCCCCTAATAACCTCCGCAAGAGTGGGTTGTCCTGATAATATCTAGTTCTTATAAACCGAAGCGACAAGTTGTCTGCGTGTGTGATAAATAGTCTGTATGTAAAGTAAACGAATCTGGTTTTAGGGGAGTATAGGGCATTATAAAAGTACGAATGTTGTCGTACCGGAACCACTTTACTTGTTTACCGTATGTTTCTGGAGAAGTACCTTGCTTACATGTTAAAGAGCGATTCTTATCTGCACGGTTTGCTTTTATACTCTTAGATCGTGGCAGATTTCTGTTCTGCAGTATGTGCTTCTTCCTGTGTTGTGTTTGCATATAGCTATGATATTCAGTTTACCTAATCTCTTGCATTGATGCAAAGTGATCCAATTGTTGGGAACATGCAAGTGACACCATAAGTAATATGTCCTTATTTAGCATTCTGTGTGATGGTAACATACAAAAATGTTTACTTCCACAAGCTATGAAAAAAGACCTGTGAGTGCACCTACTCTCTCCTGAATATATTGGCATGCAAAGGTTGCACCAAAGCCAGATTTTTATCAAGCATTATTAAAGGGGTGAGTGCCAAGGTCACATGCATACATATATATACACACACACACACATTTGTACAAATATTACCTATTTTAATCTTGACTGCTTTCCACTAACCCTTTCCATAAATGTGTATGTAAAAAAAAAAAAAAGTGATTAAGTACATTTTTGATTGTACGCTGTCCTTGGTTTTCTTGATCTGTGTTTTTATTTGTCACATACCTTGTGATAACTCCCCTCGTGTTTTAGGAAGTCTGTTCTGTAATCCATTACTCTGCCTAGATGCTAGACCGCAGTAACCCCAGTAAATATTGAATTTGCGTCTTTTAATTGTGGTCTCTCTGCAGTTATTTGGTTGATTTTAACTGAATTTTGCTCAGTCAGAAGCCCAAATATGACTCGTAAAATGAATGTAGCTACGAAAGTCTTCTCAAAGTTTAATGTATGCCTTGTGATTGCAGGATCAGTTCGGAGCGTCGGAAGGAGAAATCTCGAGATGCTGCAAGATGTCGGAGGGGAAAAGAGTCGGAGGTGTTTTATGAACTCTCTCATCAGTTGCCTCTGCCGCACAATGTGAGCTCCCATCTGGATAAAGCTTCCATCATGAGGCTTACCATCAGCTACCTGCGTATTAGGAAGTTGCTTGATGCTGGTGAGTGTTTTGTTTACTGTATATTTCTAAGTGGACAAAGGTTTTTCAGTTATTGGATAAAGCGATGTATACTGCTGTGGCAAACCTAGCCACTTGTAGGATGCTGGACTATATGTATAAAAAGGTCTGTAATAACCGTTGTAATGTATGTGTAACCTTGGTTGATACTGTGATGTGCATAGAATTCGTATGCTAGCAGCCGAAAGCCGCTAGCATTCATGTGTTTCGTTTCACGAACAGCGACTTTACTGGCTGTTCGTGAACCAAATGAGCTACCCCCTAATAGCCCACACATAGAGGGACGCGTGGCGCTCATTAACCGATTGCAACATTGTTGCAATCGGTAATTATAGACTTTCCTAGGTGGCCGCCGTTCGGCTACCGACCATGCGGCGGTCGGCCATCTTGGATCCTTTCTCACCAGCGGTGTTTGGTCGTCGAGCGCATGGAACTGAAAATAGCTACTCGACGGCGCGAACACCGCTGGACTTCCAGGCCGTTCTGGAGCTCCAGTCCTTTGCTATTATGGTTCCCCATCGGTGTTCGGTACTTTTAGGCGAACTTAATGGCAAAGTGTATTTCGTGCGGCGTTCGGTTGTTTTAGCTGGGATCTGAGAGGTATTCCCACAAAATGTGCACTCAGACCCCAGCTATCTACCGAACGTCCATTCGTTTAAATAAACTGAATATTGTTAAAGTTATGTATTTAAATGTAAAATGCCGGTTCTGCTGCATGGAGGGGTAATCCACTTAACGGTATATTCCAGTGGGAGTATCCCTCTCGTCCAGCAGTGCATGATGGGAGAAATGCTCAGAATGTTAAGTCCCCCATGTAGTCCCCTACTGTATTACCCCTGCTATGTCAGTAGGGAAACCCCTTGCATGGGGACTTGCATAAATACTGGAGCTGTGAATAAAAACCTCAATTGACTCCTGGAACTGTGTTTCGTCCGGTTACTGGGGGATTTGGGATATTGCCTTACTTTAAAGCGCTTGACTGTGGATTACTTTCTATACCAGCGGAGATAGTGGAATTTAATATTGCAGCTCCGCTTTAACTGCTATACTGTAACTAAACAATACTATGTTCAGGGAGAGCCTTTAGTCTATGAAACCCAAGATTAATTTACCTTAAATCCTTAGCAATTCTGATCACTGTTCATTCATTATCTCCATGTGTGATCAGAAGTGACTCCTCGTGATTTCTATTGAAATCAGCATTTTTTATTCACCTCAGTAAGATTAAGTGCTTTAGGGATTTGGAGTATTTATTAAAGTGTTTAAGAGTTATTAAAGGGACACTCTAAGCAACAAAACAACTTTAGCTCAATTAAAGGGACACTCCAGGCACCCAGACCACTTCTATCCATTGGAGTGGTCTGGGTGCCAACTCCCACTACCCTTAACCCTGCAACTGTAAATATTTCAGTTTTCTTAAACAAACTGCAATATTTACCTTGCAGGGTTGACTCCTCCTTTAGTGGCTGTCTAGTAGACAGCCACTAGAGGGCACTTCCTGGTCTATAGCACAAGTTTTCTGTGCTATAGTGTCGCTGGACATTCTCACGCTGTGTGAGGACCTCCAGCGTCGCTAAAATCCCCATAGGAAAGCATTGAAAAGCATTTTCAATGCTTTCCTATGGAGAGGTCTAATGCACATGCGCAGCATTAGGTCTCCCCCGACTGGCTGACGTGGTGATGGGGAGGAGCGTGGGCGGAGAAAGAAGTGACGAGGGACATCTTCGTTGCCTCTGGTAAGTCATTGAAGGGGTTTCTACCCCTTCAGCAAGTCGGGGATGGGAGGTGGGAGGGAGAGGGGACCTGCAGTGCCAGGAAAATGGGTTGTTTTCCTGGATACTGGAGAGTCCCTTCAAGCAGTTTTGGTGTATAGATCATGCCCCTGCAGTCTCTCTGCTCAACTGTCTGCTATTTAGGAGTCTAATCACTTTGTTAATGCAGTCCTAGCCACACCTCCCTGCATGTGACTCACACAACCTCCTTACAAACTTCATGTAAAGATCTAACAGTCTGTTTAATGTAGATTTTTTTTTTATCTCCTGCTGTTACTAACCTGCTAAAACATGCAGGAACCTTCTATTTTGATTACATTTAAAGTAGTAGAGCATGAGATAATAACTTCTGAAGTAAATTCCCTGTGCCTAAGATCTGATTGAAAATATAATTATTTTTTCATGCAGGCTGTGAGTCAGTCAGGGGAGGTATGGCTAGGGCCACATAAACACAATCAAAAGTTCTCAAACTCCTTAACTGCAGAGGATTGATCAGTTAGACTGCAGGCACATGATCTATACACCAAAACTACTTCATTAAGCTGTATCCCTTTTTATATAGCATTGTATTGTTCTGCTTCACTTACTAGTTGCTTTTCAATATGAAGCAGGGCTGCTGAACGCCTGTGGTTCCTACACTCATTCCTTCTTTCCCCCAGGAGAACCGGCCAGTGAGTCTGAAACCGAGAAGCAGTTGAATTGCTTCTATCTGAAGGCCTTGGAGGGATTTGTCTTGGTTCTTACAGAGGAAGGTGACATGATTTACCTGTCTGAAAATGTTAACAAGTGTATGGGTCTGACACAGGTAAGCAAATTCTCTTTCTGCGGCGATTAGTGCGGGGGCTGAGCTGTCAGGTGATGGTTGTATACATGTAACCTTGCTTTGTATCCGCAGTTTGAGCTGACCGGGCACAGTGTGTTTGACTTCACTCACCCGTGTGATCACGAAGAGCTCAGGGAAATGCTCACTCACAGGAGTGGTAAGTAATGTTCTCTCCACTCTTTCTGAATGCCTTCAATCCTAGAAAAAAGGCCTTCAGCCCTTCCCAGCTTCACTATCTGTTTTCTGCATTTCTTTCCTGACCGCAGATGCCTCTTTGAAATAAAATGCATCTGTCAGCTTGGGATTTCTCAATGGATTCTCTCCTTCTTGTTACTGTAGTCCGTGTGCGGGTTTATAACTGTAGAATGTGTTTGGATTTATTAGTTCTTAGCTAGGGACCATTTTACATCTGCAGAGCTCTGTCTTGTGCCTTTTTGCTCTACATTTTGGATTATTATCCACTCGCCTATCCAGATACCGCCTCCCTTCTTCCCACTCCTCCATCTGAAGCTGCCAGGAAAGATCAGCTTCTGTCAAGGGGTGGAGTAAATGGGAGGAGTAGTCATGCAATTGAGGTCAAGATGGATGCCTCCAGTAAGGTGAGCACTTGGGACGGTAACAGGTCAATTTATACAGGCAATCTGTCTGCTTGCAGTTGTGGATGTATGCATTTGTTTGTGTGAAGGGATCCTAAAAAGATCATTTTGAGGTCTGCGGATTAACTTTAAGATGATTTTTGTACTCCCAAATGAATATATGTTATAATGTGCAATTCAATGCCATGTTTCTTTTCTGCTGACATGATTCTGTTAATCAGTTTGATCTCTGGGTAGAGCCAAGTAGTTTTCCCATTCCACTTCATGGCCATAAACTTTAATTTGCACACACAAATCTCAGTGCATGTTTCCACCTGATGTGTTTGGGCAAATCAGTCACTCCACTCATCTGTAGCATGTGCCACTTACAGAATAACTGCGTCATGGCGAGGAGTGCTGGTACGAAGCATTCTAATTAATAGTGAATATATTCAGGGAACTTAATTACTGAGAAAATGTATAAATCTTGTTTCATGCTTGATCCAGAACAAGGAATGCTAGCTATTTAAACAAACCAAAAAAATTGTAGTAAAATAAATGGTAATTGATTTGGAGCTGCACAGAAACGCACTATGCTGTAGGGCACATTCCATGGCCGTGTGTGGGGAAACATGTCTATGTTGGGGAAAAAAACATTTTATGCATTCTGCTATGATCTAGTTGGAGAGGTTACATTTTGTTCTGGTGTAACAGATTCTATGACCATAAATAAACCATTCCACCAAGGGCTGTACAAATCTTCGATTATCTTGTACTTCCTCTGTCCCCGAAATGGTTAACAGTTTTTTTTTTTTTGTTTGTTTTTTTTCTTCTTTTTTTTTCTTTCTAATCCGTAATTTTTTTGCAACACATCTACACAATTTTCTTTCTCAGGAAGAAGGAAATGTCAATATTGACACTTTCTTAGTTTTCTTTTTCTCATTTCCTAAAGGTCCAGCAAAAAAAGGCAAAGAGCAAATCACAGAACGGAGCTTCTTCCTCCGTATGAAGTGCACGCTCACCAGTCGAGGAAGAACAGTGAATATAAAATCTGCCACATGGAAGGTGAGGAATCCTTACAAAGCAACATTCTGCTTGTGTTATTGCACCACTAGCTGAAACTAATGTATGTTACTGGTATGATGTGCTTTGGTTTGTAGAAGCACCATTGCTAATGCTGAGCAGATAATTCAGTAATAATTTCCATCTCCCACGTGATGGGAATCTGTACATGAGCTATATTTGCAAAGCAAGAGCGTCATTGTGTTTGTAATTATTAAAATGCTCCAACCCTTCAAACATGGAGGACCTACATCGGTCCATCACAGAATACTGTTATAGGTGATGGCAATCAGCTCCCCAATTAAAGCGGTTTCTTCGCTTTCCAGGGTAAAATAAGTGCTGATTTAATTTAAATGAATTATGTAAATTCCAACAATCAATATGAGAAAATGTAAAGGGATTTACTATGGGATCTATATGCATTATGAATGGAGGATTTCTCTCCAAAAAAACTGTTAAAGAACTGTCACCTTAACATTAGATTTTAATATAGTGAGTCTTTCATTAAGTTTAGAAAATAAATGGATTCTTAGTTAAATGAAGTATATGTAAAAATATGAGCGATTCAAACCCTAACTTTCGTATAGTATCCTTCAGCTATGTTAGATGCACCTTGGTCAGACCATCTTTGAATGTGACTGTTAGTGGGTCTGATAACATCGCTACACTGTGCAGGGGATGAGGCTGGTAACAACACCATACAGACGGTCAGTTTTCAAACACTGTCTGACCCAAGGTGCATGTGAGTTTCTAATAGATTTTTTTTTTTTTAATTTAACACCGTAATTAACACCATATAGTGTGGAGGTGACAGTTGTCAATTAAAATGTTGTGTATCACATGGAAGCTGAAGTAGACTGCTCCGATAAGGTGGACAACTTGTTTTGCATATAGTAATACTGTTATACACCTAATCTTAACAGTCCAGGTGGTAAAACTCAAGTTTTGGAGAGGTTTGTTCCTTATGGATATTCTATGTTTATATATTTTGTTTTCGTTCAGGTTCTCCACTGCTCTGGGCACATACGTGTGTACGATGCTGGCAGTGGACAGAACCATTGTGGATACAAGAAGCCACCAATGACCTGCTTGGTGCTGATCTGTGAACCAATTCCTCACCCATCTAATATTGAGTTTCCACTGGACAGTAAAACCTTCCTCAGCCGCCACAGTCTTGACATGAAGTTTTCTTACTGCGATGAAAGGTAATGCCAAGTAAACTAGCCCACACATAATGTGCCTATAACACACCACAAACTAAAATATGATTGTGTCTGCTTGGGCTTGATGCAATTAGTTTCCTCCCAGCTACTGGTCTAATAATTTCCTCTACATTTGACTGCTTTGATGAACATTACAGTCTCCTAATTCCGTTTTAGGGTAACCGTGTTGGTGGGGTATGAACCGGATGACCTCATAGGTCGTTCAGTCTACGAATACTATCATGCCCTGGATTCAGATCATCTGACCAAAGCCCACCATGATAGTAAGTATTTAATTCTTTTCATTGAACTATGCCCTGCCCTCTATTGGAGGAGAGTATACAATGTTATCTGTGAGAAAGCAAATACAGCAACATAAGAATAATGACCACATTGCCCCAAGATATGTGTAGCGGAACAACCTGCTTCCACATCCATTCCGCGAACACAGTACATTAAAAATGTTGCACATAAAAATTGTGAACTGTATAGCGAATTAAATGTACCACTAGTTTAAGCAGATTAAAGGAAACCTGCAGCAATTAAACGATTGTTGACAAATTAACCAAGATGCAATATTTGAAGGGAAATAGTGTTGTCATTCTAATATTAAAACCTCAGAATCCGTGTTCTAATGAAGCAGCACTGCAGGAGCAGTAAGAAATGTATAAAATGTATAGGGTGCTAGGTAATACCAATGTTTAGGAGTGGTACCCCTACTCCCCCCACACCGCCACCCACCTTGGACCCTACGTTAGCATTTTAATGTTCTATGATTTATGTTTTCAGTGTTTGCAAAAGGGCAAGTGACTACAGGACAGTACAGGATGCTGGCCCAAAAAGGAGGCTATGTTTGGGTCGAAACCCAAGCAACTGTTATATACAATACAAAGAATTCCCAGCCCCAATGCATTGTTTGCGTTAATTATGTTTTGAGGTAAGTTTTCACAAAATTGATAATATATTGTATAGAATATATCCCTTGTTGCATTTAATTCCTTACAGTGCTTGATCAAAAAATACCTTGTTCAATTGATATCAAAATAATTCTGGTTTGAAAAAAATCTTACCTTTTACGGCATCATTTCAATTGTGCTGCAACGAATAGCTTCATTCACAAAACCCTCTGGATCAATTTTTTTTTTTTTTTATGAATTTTTTGAGTTTCTCTTTAAAATGAACCTGTTGTCAGAAATTCAACTTACCTGAAATCATCCTATATGCATTGAATACACCTTATAATCCAAAGACGTATGATGTATTTAATGTAAAATATCGAGATTTAGTCCCTCCTCTGTTACTCTTCATGTAACATCCACCTCCGGGCCACCCTCTACTCTTCACCTCCATTCTTTGGTGATTTGCCCCGCTTGGCTTGCCCAGTGTGGGGCATTTAAACAGAGTGATGAAGTGCTAGCTAGGGGGTTTTCACAGCAACTATAATGCATGCACAGTAGTTGCTTTGCTTAGAAGATCAGAAAGATCTTGATAAACTCTGAGAGACCTTGATAAACTAGTAGAAAAGCCTAGTTTTAAATAGGGTTTTTTCTTTCTCTATACATTGTGCTAGCAAAACTGCCAACACGATGTATAGATAGAATGGTATTCTCAGTCTAATGACCAGTTGTTGTTTGGGGCATGACAGATGCCATGTAATGCACCAGCTCTTGTCTAGCTTATGTTAGTATCTCAAAATTGTAGGATTGCATGTGATTCTCAGTAGACCCTCAGCCCTCAGCCTTTGAAAGAGTACAATTAAGTTTGAAGTGGCAGCAACCGTAAGTCTATTTAAAATACTAGAATGGTTTACTGTTGTCTTCCGAGAGGACACATCCTAAAACAAGTCCTATAGTTCTTTTCACAACACTGCCACCATGTGGAATCTGAAGAAAAGTCCAACCAGATTTTTTTGTTTTGTTTTTAAACCAGTATACAAACAAGCACTTTTATACAAATATACAAACCAGAATAAAGCAAAAAAACTTTAAAAAGTATTTAAAAAACAATTATAAACCTACTATAAACTTGGTCAGATTGCGTTGGTGGACGTGCCTCTCAGCTAGTGGAGTTTCTTCAGCCCCCGACGTGTCCACTAATGACTGAAACAGGACATAATCATGTAGAAGCAGCAAGCTTCTCATACTACCTGTAGTGAGTAACTCAGCAGGGAAAGAGAAACCGGACACTGGAACCTGCCTTATATGAATTCACACTGATTAGACTCCCTCTCTCTTCCCCCCCTGTCAGGATTTGCAAAGTGAAGATATCTTCCACCTCACATGTGTAAATCTGCTAAGAACACCCAATTCACTTTTCCAGCATTCCTAGGGATAGGAAAATGATTTGTTAGTTTAGTGTCCCGTCTCCCTCCGGAGTGGGTGTGATGTATAAGAAAGTAGTAGGTAAATATTAAAAGGAAAAAGCATATTTACCCGCGTTTTTCAGCCTGCAGAGTGTGAGGTAACGGTCTCAAAGCTAAAGCTTTTGAATGAGACAGTTGTCTGTGTTGCATGCCCCAAATTCCTCCACCCTAAACATCTTGAGACAAAAAATATAACCAGATTTCCTTAACACACAAAATGGTGTAGACTTTCAGAGATCTCCCTGCAAACTTACTTTTGCATTGTAATTTACTTGAAATGGTTCCTCTAAGCACCATGATCAATCCAGTGATTTGAAGTAGTCATATTGCCTGGAGTCTGTATATGCAGTGTTTCGCTTTGATTAATTAACTGCTGAAGATGTAACTCCACAATGTCATTTCCCTAGAGTGAAGTTCCGGGCTGGCTAATGTCAATTCTGTGCAAAATTGCCACCTGATGTTGGCATTAAACAGCCAATGGTGGCATGGCACATTCACCTGCCCTCAGTCTGTCTTGACTCTTTGTGATAATGCTAATGATTTTTACCATAGCAGATGCCTGCGTTTTAATGAGAACCTGTCTCTCTGTATCATTAGTGGCATTGTAGAAAAGGATGTGGTCTTGTCGCTGGGCCAGACAGAGAGTATCCTAGTCCCAGTGGAATCTGCTGAGACTAAAATGCGTGAGATCTTTACAAACAGAGACACAGAAACTGATGGCAAGAGCTTGTACGATCAATTCAAGGAGACATCAGACTCCTTGACGTTTCTTGCACCAGATGCAGGGGATGAAATTGTCTCATTGGAATTTGGTCAAAGTGGTGAGTGTTTTTCTGTTTCTATTTTTAGTTTTCACTTTACGTCTCCATAAAGCAGACCAGGCTTGGAATGTCTTCATTCCAATTTTTTTTTTTTTTTTTACCTCCATAAGACTCTGAGCAGCAGTTTGATGATGTACCACTTTACAATGATGTAATGATGCACCCAACAAATAAGCAGCTGGAAAGCATGCTGGTATCTCCAGATCCTGATAAACCGAAGCCCCTACGTAGTAATACAGATCCTGCTTTAAACAGAGAAGTTGTAATAAAAATGGAGAATACTTCGGAACCTCTGGACCTTGCATTCACTGTTCCCCAGCTGTCCAAGCCATGCAGTCCTTCAGACATTAGCAGCAGTCAGAGCTCCACAGAGGTAAGCATTCAGTGATTAGAATGTAATGGCCCGGTCTTACTGTAGAGGGCACTGTTACTTTCTCAGTGATTTCATTTGTCAGCAGTTTGCATTGGAAGCTAATTTCCATGTTGTTTGTATTGTCCTTTTGTAGCCTGGTAGTCCAGCAGAGTATTGTTTCAATGTCGACAATGATATTTCAACTGAATTCAAAATGGACTTGGTCGAGAAACTTTTTGCGATAGACAAAGATGCTAAAACCCAATATTCTACACAGGTTTGCTTCCTTTTATTTTTATACACAAAGTGATTGTTTTATTGAAACATTTGGACATTCTTGTAAGAACCTTCACTGTCTGGAATAGACTAATAAAACAGAATCTTAGACTCTTTAAATGATGGAATAACTCAGTGTTGACCTACCACCACTCTCTATCCAGATTGATGTTGGTGGTCTTCACTTTCTGGGTCTCGTTGAAAGTATATTGGGCAGTCAGTTCTTAACACTGCTGAATTCTACATTTTGACAAAGGCAGCGAATCTAAACCGTTCTGCAGAAAGGGTAGAGGGAAGCTACTGTCTTAGTACCCTGAGCCCCTGAGTCCCATTTGTCTGCGTTTTCCAATGTGTGTGTGTTCTTTGCGTGCTTTGCTACCAGTGTGTATGTGTTTCCTGAGCTTGACTTTCAAAGTTTGACCAAAAACTGCAGAGTTGGAGATTTGTTTTTCCTAGTTCTGCTATTTTGACCAAGAGTTTTGCAACTCTCAGGTCACAACAAATAACTGGAACGTGAAAAAAAAAGTATATAGTGCGTGTGTTTGGTGTATATACATGCTTGATGCTGGCTGGGGAGATATGAATTTAAGGTGTTGTAGGTGCTGCGTGGAGCTACAGATTTCTACTGGGTTACTCCTACTAGGATTGTCTGTTAATATTTTCCCCACTCCTGTTACTCTGCTTTCCCTAAATGCTCTTTCATCACTCGACTAGGTGTTCCATAGAGCAAGGGTTCTAGCCATATGCTAGCTGACTTGTGAAGTAATAGGGGGAGGTATATGTGGAGTGTGGTTGTGAGAACGTAGTTTACTTCGGAGCCCTTCTAAACTGTGGATAACCCTGGCCGCTGACATCATTTCATTTATTCCAGGAAACGGACTTGGATTTGGAAATGCTGGCTCCGTACATCCCAATGGATGATGACTTCCAGCTGCGAACGTTTGAGCAGCTTTCATCTTTGGAGTGTGATTCAGCAAACTCACAGCCCACGGGAAGCATCACTAACCTGTTTCAGTCGCCTCAAACCCAAACCGCCAGTGATTTTAAGCCACTTACTATAGAAGCAGTGAGCGACTTAGAGACCACTATTATCCAGTCACCTGCACAGTCCATGAAAGATGTCACCAGTGCTCCGTCGTCTCCATATAACGAGAGCCGAAGCCGTACAAGTTCTCCAATGAGAACGGACAAATCAAATGTTACGCCTGAACGGTCCCGCCCAGGAACTCCCAGTTTACCGGCTCTTTTTGCTAAGAGGTATATCATTCTCATGTTATTGTCCAGCATTACGTTTCTTCTAAATGATGCACTTAATAAAGGGAAACTGTCCATTCCCTTAATATTTGTGAGATGTGAAAAATAAAATTATATCTACGCCTCTTTATCCAGCAGCTGGGCACCTCCATCTTAGCTCTCTGTCATTGTTCTAAGCTCTGACCATCGGCATAGAGAGCGCATACTGAGAAGAGAAATTATATATATTTTTCATGGTGATTCTTCCTGATATGCAGTGTGTGCCCTGGCTTTGCCATGTCTTCTGGAGTGTTTTGTCATTTGTAAAATATTTAAGAGGAATTTAAACACTTTAATAAAAAGGTTAACACACGTTATTTAAAGTTACGCAGTTGTGTACATTTCAGAGATGTGGCTATTCCTTTTTATGAATTGTCCTTCTTTAATCTTACAGGCCTGGCACTTTGGATGAAGAATTAAGTCCAAAAATGATTGCTTTACACAATGTACAGAGAAAGCGCAAAATTGAAAACGAGGGTTCCCTGTTCCAAGCAGTAGGAATTGTAAGTGCATTTTGTTTTCTCTTGTGTAGGAGTTCACATGGTTTGTATGTGTTTTCATAACTGGACTTTAAATTCTTTATTAGTGCACACTGCCTCTAGCACTCCATTGATTCAATGTTTAAATGAACACTCCATGCACCAGAACCACTGCAACGCGCTGGAGTGCCATAGCACCCTCCAGTGTAGTCTGTTTGCTAACAGTTTGGCAAATTAGCTTCTTTGAGAGTCGGAAGCTCTTTGAATTGAGCTAAACCCAGCATCACTGTGCTTAGCTCATTGCCCGGAAGTAATCAGCTGACGCTCTCAGCCAATAAGCTGGCCTTGCACAGCAACGTTTAGCTCAAGAGAGCCAACAGGAACTTAAGACTCTATTGTGAAGGTGACCGGACCATTGAAGACCCCAGGTACGAAGCAAAATAGTTTGTCTGCTTACATTGGGGGTGCCAGGGCACTTTAGTGGTTATGGTGCTTGGGATATTCCTTTAAAATAATCAGTGCTGTTTGATGGAGTTTCTTTTTCAAACCGCATTGGGCCTCTTCCTTTATTGGTATCTTTGTGTCCTATAAGTTCTGTTTGCCACTTGGCGCATCTGTGTGCTCGTTGCTGCTAGTTCTCTGTATGTATAATTCTCTATTGTGATGAGAATGAAAATTAAATAAAACAATCAGTGTTGATAAATAAAAATCATGTGAATTAATGAGTAAACATCACACAAGCCTCTTATATCTCAATGCTCATTAGGACACCTGCATTACCTTCTTACTGCTGGGTGGATACCGTTTATTGCTATAACGAGGCTATTCTTAGAAAGCCATATAAATTTACAGAATTCTTGGTATTACATTTTTCTGCATCAATTCTGTCCAAGAAGCTCAGGGTATGAATTGCTATAGTGGCTACCAAACTCTTTCTAGTTGCCACCATTGCTGAAGCAGTGAGGTTTTGATTGTTCTAGGCTTAAACGACAATCCAATCTTTGCAGACTGCGGTCAGTGTTTGGGAACAAAAAGCTAAAAAATGCTAAACGGATGCCAAATAGTGCCTAAAATGCAAATGCATTGGTGTGTACCTCCTACACAGTCAGGACTTTTACTAAAGTGTTCCAGAAAGGATGGTTGGCCGTGCGTTGCTCTGCCTATGTTTCCCATAAAACTTGCTGTAAACATTGTTTTACTCATTCCTTCCTGTGAGTGCTGTGTAGCAACAGATACTATACTTGTGTATATCTTCTGTGGAATATCCTGGCTGAAATATCTATCAATATCATTTTCTTACCTTTTTTTTTTTATTTTTTAATGTTTGTTTTAGGGAGCATTATTTAAAATAAATGTTGACCAGGAGTCAGACTCTCCTCTGTTATGGAAGCGGGTGAAGAGTTCTGATTCTGGTTCAGAAAGACCAAGTGGAGCGGAGCAGAGAACCATTCTTCTGTTATCAACTGGTAAGAAGAATTAAAATGTTTTTAAGGAAATTGTTAGATCTGACCTCTCAAGGCAGAATGCATATGTAATGCTTTGTGTGATTGTGGTTGTGTTATAACAGAAGTTATTTTGCTCATAGGACCACAACTTACTAACATATATATTAATTTGTTCTTTCTTTTTGCAATTTGTAGATATGGGCAGTCGATTGCTTTGCCAGTCTGTAGATGGTACCAGGCTTCCACAACTGACTAGCTATGACTGCGAAGTGAATGCCCCCATACAAGGAAATCGAAACCTCCTACAGGGGGAAGAATTATTAAAGGCTCTCGATCAAGCTAACTGATCTCTTATTGTCTTCAATGTTTGGACACTGGTGAACCTTCATCACCCAAAGCAGCATATTTATATTTTCTAGATCTGATATTTAGAAACCTCCCTACAATACCGCACTACTCCAGCTAGATCCATTTCAACTCCTAGTTCTTTCTTTCCTTTGTATTTTTCACCTTTTTTTGTTACAAAGCAAAATAAAATGTTGATACTTCATATATCCAAATACATATACGTAATACCAATATATAAACTAACACACATTCAGAATGTGCACTTTCTGTTTGGTTTTTTTTTTTGTGGTATTTTAGAAAAATTTGGACTTTGTCAAACACATCATTTAAAGTGAATCTGTCATTCACAAAATGTCTGGTAAATAATTCAATTGTAGAAATTGAAATCACCAACCTATGTAGGTATGGGATGACACATTTTTCCTGCCATTCTTTTGTGGACCGTGTGCATGTCTTTGTGGACTCACAAGTTCGTGGCTGCAAGGTAGCCATTGTTTGTGTACATGGACGTGTGCACCCCCTCTGCAGAATTAGCTAAAGTATAGATCTCTGCCACTATTTGTAAGCTGGGATCTTTAACAACATTTTATCTGAACCTTTGCCAACAAATTGGCTAGCAAGGTCCGTAGATAATTGTATCTTGAATGTGCCATCTTTGCATGACAGGTGCACTTTGAAACGATTAATCACAGTACAACAGTTTAATCATTTGTGATTCCATTAGGTGTTAGATTCTCAGATCATCTTATGTTGTCTGTACTTTTTACTGCACAGTAAACAAAACAATGCTTTGCCAGCGGTGCATTGTAGTCACGATCGCACAATATATATTTTCTTAAGAAAACAAAAAAACTACCAGCAGTTATTCATGCAATATATTATGCATTTTTAAGACTAGTTTATAAAATTGTTTTGTTTGTGGTTTTTATTTTGTGTTTTTTTTTTTATTTTAGGTTTTATTATTTCGAAATCTTGTAATGGCCTGACGTAACTTTGTTAGCAACGTTATGATGTAACCCAGTTGATGGCTACAGCAGAGATTTCAAACCTTAATCCATTTAAACAGGTTCTAAAGATGGATGTAAACTGGTGTGATTTTAGAATCATGTAGCAATGCATTCTCTTTTAGAAAGAGAGACCAATATAAGTAGACTGTGTGACAGCTGAGAAAATCCCTGCTTGTAGTTGTAAGCATCATTGCTAATCATGTAAGCATATTAAATGTAAATGTTCTGCTCATTCGGTGTAACACAGATCGACGCAGACTAGTAAAAATGCATAGTACGTAACGTTTGCTTGGCATTTGAATTCATGCACTTTTCTCGCTTTGAACATCTTTATATTTTCATATAAAAGTTCAGTTCCTATGACCTGTATTTTAGAATTTTTTTTTTTTTCATTTTTAAAATTTTAATAGTTGTATCTTCCAGCATCTGCTAAGTGTAATTGTACATTAGATTGTGCAGATTTTGTTCTCAATCTATCCTTTTTTGGTGTCTGTGGTTGGATCTAACACTAACTGTTATTGTTTTATGACATCAATAAACATTTTTCGTGGACCAGGCCACATATTGCTCATCAATTTGTCTATTTATGTTGTCACTGTTTATAATAAAGACAACTTTTAAACGGATGATTTCTTTTACAGCCCCATTCTTTGTTTTACGTGATTTCTATTGAAAACAGAAAAGAGCTTTTTAGATTTGTACATGAAGAATATTATATTTTTATATTGACGTCCTCGAAGCTGCACTCCAGAATAATTCTGAAAACGTACACCGTATTTTTACCTGTATATACTTTATTTGGGATCTTTGACTAAGAGAAGGCTGTAGGAACATAAAATTCCAAGCCGTGTAGGACCGACTTCTCAATGTCTGCTTCCCAATAAAACAATGAAAATGTCAGTGGGCGTCTAATGCTTATAAATGGATTTATTCAGCTATGCAAATTCAAACCGGGACAGTAATATCCATGAGGCCTCCCAGTGGACATGTTGCTGGCTAGAATGAGTCAATACAATAAGTTAGACATTTTCTTTTTGTGATCATCTGGATATCTAAAGAAGGAAGCAACATGTGCTTACGATCATTTGACAATTACATTGCCATGTACTGAAAATTAAACTATAGCTTTCTGGGTAATCTTTGAACATTTTCCAAACTGCCATGTTACCAGTAAGTTTCTGACACAGTTTGGAAAATGGTAAATGTACGTGATTGCGACAATGTCTGGTTTTATACATCAACCGAAATCCAATACAAGAGTTGCAAGATGACTTCGCCCAGCCTTACAGATCCCAGCGATGGACACAAGCGATTTTGTTTAATCTTCATACAATAACGCACACAAAATGCTCAGTATAACTTGTTAATATTAATGTAACGGGGGCATTGTTTGTTTCATCTAGAAACACATTATGGTTTAATTCAATTTGTATGGTCCATGTGTTGCTCACCAATGTTTTTTTTTTGTTTGTTTTTTTTTTTTTTACTATTGGAACAGACTTTACTCCCTGTCCTCTTGTCCTGTAGCTGTTTGGGAAATCCCCAGCTATTTAAACACCCTTTTCCTGACCTTTTGTATTTGATAAATTGGTGATTCATATTCTGCAAGACATTTTACTTGCGTAGATCACACTACATGATATTGCACAACCTGTGTCCTGGGGCAGCAATTAAATTGCGTAAATAACTCAAACAACTGGATCATTTGAATGTCTGCAGGATGTTGTCTATATATGGCCTGTAAACAGAATATTTAACCAGCCAGTAATGTCTTTTTGTAGGACAATCCAAAGGTCATTCTGCATCAGAATCCTCCGTACCAGCTGGATGATGCAAGCTTTTTTTCTGATAGTTACACTTATTGTGAGTTGTTTGAATCAGACTGTGTAGTATTAAGGTGCACGCACACACATTGTACAGCACTACGGAATTTGCTGGCGCTATATAAATAATAAAGTAATATGTATCCGTGCATTGGTATACTTTTTAAAGTGTATATAATCATTTAAAGCAATGCTGCCCCCTTGCTCACACACAATGTAACTGCAATCTCTTTACTTAGGGAAAATTTTTTTAGAAGACTCTCCAATACATGCCTGTGTCCTGTGACGCTGCTGTGGCTATATAGTGCTATTATTCTATGCTTAAATGTATGAATGGACCAAACAAAAAGGCTTGGATAGTACTGACACTCTTCCAGATTAGAGAGGTGGTGCAGAACTGTGCCTGGAAGAATTGTATTCATGCAGCAATTCAAAACAAAATTCTATGAAGTGTTGTATTGTTTTAATTTTTTTGAAACTTCATCTTAAAGTGCCTATATATATATATATAGAGATATATATATATATATATATATATATAGATATATATATATAGATATATATATAGATATATGATGTGCTCCCAAATTAAATTACCAGCCTAGGTCATCATTTTAAATAATATCCCTGGGTTTTAGTTTGACTGGTTCTGGCAGCCTTCGCAGTTTAAACTCGGCTTTGCGGACTAAAAACCAGGTACTTTTCAATATGGCGCTTGCAAATATTTCTGTATTGTTTGGGGATAAAGTATTCAGTTGTTACTGTAATATAGTATTAGAGTAGTACACTTCATTTATTACTGTTGGGTCTCTGGTATTACAGCTGCCCTGTGTTACCCCATTCACAGGGACATTGATTTGGGCTCCAGTTAACGAACTCTGGGGGAAAAAAAATCTCCAATTTGGTCACAACTCTTCCGGCCTCTGTTTCTCTATTCAGATTAACTCCCAGAAATCTGCTGTTTAGTGAATAACCCTGTTGGTGTTTATTCTCTGAATGGGGAATTGCATTTTTAGCTCAAAATAGCTAACGTGTAAAGTGTTTATAACTGGGTTACAATATCCTAAAATGCTCAATTCTGCGATCCCTTCACAATTCACGGTTTAGTGAACAAACAGCCCCAGGGTTAATTTCTCAGTGAGTGGAAACATCCTGCCACCTCAAATATTTAACCCCTTAAGGACACATGACATGTGTGACATGTCATGATTCCCTTTTATTCCAGAAGTTTGGTCCTTAAGGGGTTAAAGGAACAATCTAACCACCATAACAGCCATAGCATGCGATAGTGGTTATGGTGCCAAGAGTGCGCTGAAGTTGTACTTCTTACCTCGGGTCCACCAGGCACCACTCCCTGCCTCCACTACAGTCTTCAATGAGTGAGATGCTCAGTGTCAGAGCTAAGACCAGCGGTGCAGTAGTAGTGAAGGCGGGGAGCAGTGCCTTGCACACGCCAGGTAAGAAGTCAAAATGTTGTAAAATGGTTTGATTAATTACAATGGGGAGGAGCAGGGCACTCCTGGCTTGCTGTAGTGGTTATGGTGCTTGGAGTGTTGTTAGACTGTACTATATAAAGGCGTTATACGCAAAACTCAGAATTCTAGCGAATTAAAATCTAAAATTCTAAATTAGCCACGCTGTGAATGGCGGAGGTGGGAAATGTTTCCAGGTGACCGAAAATTTGTCGTTTGGATTTCTATTAATTGTTGTAATTCAATGTTTACTGAATTAAAAAAAAAAAGAATAATATTTTACAATAAAAGGTTGCACAAAAAAAGGAAGAATTAAAACCATCAAAGCTAAATGGTAAACAATACAAGCTATTCAGTAAGCCTGCTAGGGTGTTTGGGATATTGTCTCCCCTCTGGCTATATTACTGTATAATCTACACTGAGTGACCTTCTCACCCCAGCTCTCACAGGTCATTCCCACACAATCCCACTGCGCATGCGCACACGATCGGATACCGTTATAAACACAAGAGCCTTACTCACTGCCGTAACGCTGCATACGCCAGATCCGGGCTCCGAGATAATGGCCGCCGCCGCGCTCTCTAGGCCTAATGGTCAAAACTTCAGACTCTAGTGTTTGGACTCTGGGATGCTATGAGTGACGCTGTGCGTGGGTTCCTGTTTACAGCATGGGGGTGAGAGGGGGCAGTTTCATGGTTAGTGGGGTTGTTTGTTGTTGTTGTTGTGGTGGTGGTAATGGGGGCACCCTGCTCCCTGAGTCTCCTTTAATGCTGTGTATTGTATTGTTTGTTGTGGTGGTTGTTGTGGTGGTGGTGGGGGTAATGGGGGCACCCTGCTCCCTGAGTCTCCTTTAATGCTGTGTATTGTGGTGGTGGTGGGGGTAATGGGGGCACCCTGCTCCCTGAGTCTCCTTTAATGCTGTGTATTGTATTGTTTGTTGTGGTGGTTGTTATGGTTGTTGTTGTGGTGGTGGTGGGGGTAATGGGGGCACCCTTCTCCCTGAGTCTCCTTTAATGCTGTGTATTGTATTGTTTGTTGTGGTGGTTCTTGTGGTGGTGGTGGGGGTAATGGGGGCACCCTGCTCCCTGAGTCTCCTTTAATGCTGTGTATTGTGGTGGGGGTAATGGGGGCACCCTGCTCCCTGAGTCTCCTTTAATGCTGTGTATTGTATTGGTTGTTGTGGTGGTGGTTGTGGTGGTGGTGGGGGTAATGGGGGCACCCTGCTCCCTGAGTCTCCTTTAATGCTGTGTATTGTATTGGTTGTTGTGGTGGTTGTTGTGGTGGTGGTGGGGGTAATGGGGGCACCCTGCTCCCTGAGTCTCCTTTAATGCTGTGTATTGTATTGTTTGTTGTGGTGGTTGTTATGGTTGTTGTTGTGGTGGTGGTGGGGGTAATGGGGGCACCCTTCTCCCTGAGTCTCCTTTAATGCTGTGTATTGTATTGTTTGTTGTGGTGGTTGTTATGGTGGTTGTTGTGGTGGTGGTGGGGGTAATGGGGGCACCCTGCTCCCTGAGTCTCCTTTAATGCTGTGTATTGTGGTGGTTGTAATGGTGGTTGTTGTGGTGGTGGTGGGGGTAATGGGGGCACCCTGCTCCCTGAGTCTCCTTTAATGCTGTGTATTGTGGTGGTGGTGGGGGTAATGGGGGCACCCTGCTGAGAGTTACCAAGTTCTTCATTAAGTGAATCACTGTGTCACTGCCCAGATATTGTAGCCTAAAGTTTGGAATTCCGTTTTTAATTCACTCTTTTGTGAATAAACTAAATTGTGTTCTATCTTATTGTAAAGTGCTGCAGAATAAGCTGGCGCTATATAAATAATAACCAATAATATAAAGTTTGTTGCTCATCAGCTCACGCACTCTGCATTTTCATTTCTGGGCTGAGAAGAAACACGCTGTATTTTCATGCTCATTACATGTAATAATGATTAGGTTGTCCTATAGTATTATTCTCATCCCCCCTCCTTTTCTCTATTACCAGACTTTATAGCAGGTATTATAATTCACCCTTTAATTGTATACCAAACCATCCGAGGGTAACACAAAAAAACAACAAAGCAGCAAGACACACTGACACTTTTTTTATTTTCCCTCTGGGAAAGCAGATTTGCTAGAGCCAAGACAGATCTTCAGATTGTTGGAATAAAACAAACAGCCGTCAGCTGATCACTCTCAGTCAATGATCTAAACCCTACACTGCAAGGCTTAGCTCAGCAGAGAGTGACATCTAAAGGACCACAGCTAAAAGGTCAGCAGCCATTAATAAATGGTTTGATTCATTATATTGGGGGGGAGGTGCCAAGGCACAGCGGGCTGAAGTGGTTATGGTGCTTGCATGGTTCCCTTTACCATACCTTTTCTGTCCCACGTTCTTCTTGCACTTGCCTCCACTGCACAGTTTATCGTTTACCTGTAATATAAATCAGGAACTTAAATGCAAAATTATGATTATCATCCCTAATGTGCCTATCTCAGATACTTGTCCCGAGATGTTCTCTATGTTTAATGTGTTACTTATTGAATATAATGAAAAACGAATTGCTACTTTTTGATTAACTGTTGCAAACCCCTTTATGATGCTTTGTCTCATTAATATAGTTTTAGGTTTCCCAGACCATGTGGAACTGAATGGACGTGGATTTTGTAAATGGCATAATCCCGAGCTGCTGTTTACAGGAATTCCAACTCTAAAGATACGCCAATATGAGTTATACTGGTGTGAAGGTAGACTGTGAAACCCTGCTTAGCCGATTTCAGGAGACGGACAGTGTGCGATTTGAGGATTTTCTGAAAATATGGCAGGATGTGAAATTTTCCAACATATTTCTGTAAGTTATCACTTCATATTTCAATATCTATAACCGCTTCTGTCAAATGTTTTGCCACATATTTACAGCAATTGTCCCATTTTGGCTTTTAGGGTATTTGACATTTATAATATGGACATTGTGTAAATGTTTATAGATGTACATGAATTAATTTAAGGTATATCCATGAAAATACACAGGTTTTATTAAAAGAACATACATTTCCACCTTGGCCTTCTAGCAAGTGTATGGATTTAAAAATGTGTCTTCCCACTATCTGGCTATCCGTGTTGGCCTTTTGGGGGGTGGTGCTCTTTGATGCAGCAACTACATCGCAGTTTTTTTAAACTATGTAATACCCATGAAGTCTGGATCATGGTGACACCAGTTTAGCCCTGCAATGGTAATAACGGAAATAATTACCGTGCAGGGTTAACTCCACCTCTAGCAACTAGAGGGACTTCACGGTAGTTAGATAGTTTTGTTATCCTGGCACTATAGTTTCCTTTTAAAAGGTCTTAAAGGGTTACTCCTAGCACGACAGTTATTTCAGTGTTTTGGAGTCTGCTTGTGACCGTAAGAAATGCTGCTTTATACTGAGATATTTTATGTTTCTGATGAGGTCACTTCTGGCAGCATAATCAGAGTTTCAGGCTGGCCAATTGTGTACATATTCTTTGCACAGATAGTCATTCATTGGTGGAGAGCATTGTGTGAAAGATGGACTCAGGTAATCGAGGAATTTTACAATACCGTGTTTCACACAGGTTTCTATACTAACCATTAACACCAATATAGAGGGGAGTATGAAAAGACAACATAGCTGGAAACGATTGTGTGAAACATTGTTGTATCTCAGAGACGATATTTGAAACATCATCCAAAGTGTTCGGTTTAGTTGTATTTATGGTAATTATTCTGTTTGTGTTTTTGGTTTGTTCCACCGCCTTTATAGCCAACATTGAGAAAAACTATAGAAAACAACGACTTTGCAAATACTTTTACTGCTGTAAATCTATTTTTATTTATTTTTATTCTAGAGGTGGAATGAGGAGTCTGGAAATGAACAAATTCACAAAAGAGTCGTTTGCGGTTGCCTGCCTGTACTTCTTGCCGCCATACACGTTTCAGATCCGTGTGGGTGCTCTGTATCTGCTTTATGGACTGTATAATACCCAGCTCTGTCAGCCCAAACAGAAGGTAATCCAGCTATTGGCACACATTGAATCTCTCTGTCAGCAGCAGAGTCAGAACTCACATTTAGTTAATAACGTTTTTATACGTAGTGATTATTATTCTTCCGAAGCAATGTTTGTTTTTTAAAGGGACACTAGTCACCGGAACAACTACAGCTTATTGAATTTGTTCTGGTGAATAGAATCATTACCTTCAGGCTTTTTGCTGTAAACACTGTCTTTTCAGAGAAAATGCAGTGTTTACATTACAGCCTAGGGATATCTCCACTGGCTACTCAGATGGCTACTAGAGGTGCTTCCTGGGGCTGTGCTGCACAATGTGACTGACTTTCAGTATTCTCCACCCTCTGCATGCAGGCACTGAACATGTCTGAGGGGATGCTGGTTGGCCAGGACTGTGTTTGACTTGTGCTGGCTCTGCCCCTGATCTGCCTCCCCCAGTCATATGGGAAAGCATTGTAATTGGCTCAGAGAATCACATCTGATGTCAGCCAAGCAGGCAGATCAGAGGCAGAACCAGCAGCTGCAGACTTGAATAAAAGTAAGATTTGACTAAATCTTTACTATATTAAGGAGGGCTAGATGGTTGATGTAACACTAGAGGGTCAGGAATACATGTTTGTGTTCCTGACCCTATACCGTTCCTTTAATATACTTACTGTATTGATAAGAAAAGTTAAATGTTGCAAAATGCTTTTTGAAAACGCACTTTACACAACGTTCTGTATGCTAAAAGTGACCCTTCAATTGCATTAAATAAGGCAAAAATAAATGCCTTTTAAAGGAACACTATAGTGACAGGAATACAAACTTGATGATCTTAGCCAATCCAGTGCTTTCTTACAGGAAACATTGGGAGGATATCTGTCAAGACAAACCAGTGGCCCAACTTATAGCTGTGGTTATTTCCTGGTGTCTTTTTTTTTCTTTTACTCTAACGAAGTGGGTTATACACATTGTGATATCTTCCTAGGCTAGTTAAGGCTGCACACCTCACTATCATTTTAAAGACAATCACGCTAGACAGTTAGTTGTAGTCCAGGACATTTAGGTAATTGTTCACTGGCAATCGAGGAAAGCTTTAATGAATGAGTCTATCTGCTGCAATCATTCCAGTTCCTGTGTTGTCTCTTGCAGATCCGCGTAGCATTGAAGGACTGGCACGAACTAGAGAGCTTCCACCAGGACCTTCTCAACGCTCAGCATTTGGATGCAGTTTACATATTCAGGCAAATGCGCCTAAGCCGGGCTTTCCATTTCACAGGGATGCCGACACTAGTAAGATCATACAGTGCAATACGACTTTATTTACATGCATTGGGATGAATGTGTATACATGTCATGAATGTGATTTATTTGCATATTTTTCATTGGTTTCCTACTGTTTTAAGAGACATTCCAAACCCCTGAAGCATTTTCTTAAGTTCTTTGTGTGTGAAGAGTATGTCCTCCCTTTTTTTTTTTCTCCAGTTTGCAAAAAGTGCAGATTTCTAAAGAAATTGACACTTTTATAAATTGACCATGCTAATCAGACAACTGGTCCTGTTATTTCCTGGTTTGATTAGCTCAGTGAAGCTAAACTCGAGGCAGTAATTGCCCAGAGCACCTGCCTTGCAATGACTTCTCATGGAGCTGCATTTGGAGGTCTGTGATTGGACAAACGCAAAGTCTGGGCAGGAGAAGTCTTGCAAAGGTGGCAGATGAGATCTGCAACTTTTTCAAGCAGTTTTTAGATAAATCCCCCAATGATAAAATGCAGGCATATTTACTAAACCATGAGGTGGTTGTGTGTGCATGGGAGTGAAGTGTCCCTTTAAAGGGCATTGTAGGCACCCAGACCACTTCTGCCCATTGGAGTGGTCTGGGTGCCGTGCACCTCTGCCCTTACCCCTGTTTTTTGAGAAACCGCAGTGTTTAGATTACAGGGCTAATCCAACCTCTAGTTGCTGTCTCTCAGACAGCCGCTAGATGGTGCTTCAGTGTTCTTAGAGAACGGAAAGTGTTTTAAATGACATTCGACATCCCCACGCTCTGCATGTAGACGTCAAGCATCGCTGAAATCCCCATAGGAAAGCATTGAATATGGGTTATTAACCCCTTCAGTGCTGCGGTAGAGGGCCTTGACAGAAGGGGAAGCTATAGTGCCAGGAAAAAGAGTTTGTGTTCTGATACTATAGTTTCCCTCTACTGAATCATTCACTCATTCTTTATTCTCTTTATAATGTGTGAGAGTTTTTTTCGTTCCTTCTGTTGTGAGTGATTGTCTTCTCTAGCATTTGGAGCATGCTGTGTATAATGTGTTTATTGACATGCTGAGTTCTCGGGTAACAGATTGCCAAGGACACAGTGCGTCCGGTTAATATAATGAAATCTGGGGAATGGATTATAAATAGAGCTTTGCAGAGGACACAAAGCTATCCCTGACATCTCATGGATATTGGATATACATTACTAATATGCAGGGGGGCAAATGCTTTGTTTTTGCACCAAATGTTTTACCATTAAGCTGTGGTCCAAACAGTGTGGGTGCATGTTTGGAGCAGTCTGCTTACTCTGACTATGCGCCATTTCCTCCGTTCGTAGAATACAAGCTGTGTAAATGCAGTAGAAAAAAAAACCTTTTCATAGACGGTTAAAGGGATACACAGGCACTGCGTCTAGCTTCACCTACCTTTCCTATAACTTCCAAAATGAATTGATAGATCTAACAAAGTGATTCTTAAAGGGAAACTCCAGGATTGAAAACAACTTAATGCATTTTAAAAGGTTTTGGCCTCTTTAATATGCTGTATTTTTGTATGCTTAAATATGGATAGTTTGTGCAATATAGAAGAAGGGTTATTTTAAATATATTTTTATATATTGTTTTCGGCACTATAGTCCTTTCCTCTTAGCCACACTCTCCGTTCTAACATATTTACCTTAGCCCTGTATGTATGTAGTTCAGTCACTGACGGCACTGGCCAGTGATCTGGGCTGCAGGAGGACAACCTGGTTTGTCCTCCTGATTGTCTATTTGGATGTGTCTATTAACCTGCTCAAAGACCACTGTTTAGCAGAAATACGCAGGCAGGGATAATTTATAATTGGCTCTTTAAATTGTAATGCAATGTTTCTAAATAGTGCTTTCATGGCCCAGCACTGTGTGTGGAGCTGCAGCTTGCTCAGGGAAAAGTGATTGTTAAACCTATCCATGGTTTCAGATTGCAATTTGTACGATGGCGTTACCGAATGAAATACTGATTATAATGTAGATACGAGGAGATGTACTGTCAGATGAAGCCATAATTCTGTCTCATTCAGTTCTTGATGCTAATAGGTCATCATCCATCTTCATAAAATGGAAGCTGAGCAGTTTGTCGGAGGATATGTGTATATATATTATTTTTTGTTTAGGCTACAGTTGGGCCTAGTGGGAAGTTTCCTTTAATGTTAAACATAAAGGTTTCAGTCTCTCTCTGTGATTAGTTAAATCTGAGTGTTACTATCTACAAGGGGTAGGCAACTTTCGGCACTCCAGAGGTTGTGGACTACGTCTCCCATAATGCTGGCAAAGCAAAGTGTTTAATTATGATTGGTTGCCTAGAGCTGTCTGAATAGATATGTAGAACCCCAAGCAGTGATTGTTGCCCATTATATATTTATATTTTAAATTCTTGGTGGAGAAATGTATGTTTAACATGAATTTCCATGGATTTGTCAACTGTCAACCCTTTTCAGTTTACACTTTTTTTTTTTTTTACCCATTACAAAACATTTACCAATTTAATGTGCTTTGTTTGCAGTTGACTTTCAGAAGCATAAAAAAGCCTACAAACAGTGCTGGGAAAGAAGAATTTAAGGATATTCGAGACAAAGTCAAAGATTTGGTTTCAACAGACACATTGGAGGTAAACACTGTGTGCGTACTTACAACTATCTGTGTATGTAACAATCTATGAAGGTATCAAATATCCCTACAACCATTGATTTTAGATGTTTCCCTTTAGATTCTCTTCAGATCTATAACCACAAACTTACACAGGTTTATAGAGAATAGCCTTCATTTAATTTTAGCAAATTTCCTAATGGGAAATGTGAGACTGTGAACTAAGAGGCACTTGTGATAATATAAAGTAAATAATATCATAAATTGCAAATGCGTGAGCATGTCTTGTAGAGCGATTTGATAAAATATCTATTCACAAAGACGATTGAAAGTGGTGTCAATGAAGTCACGCACTAAAGAGAGCGCAAGTGATTACATTCAGTTGTTGCTCATTGAAACCTGTATTCCTGGGTTGGGTCAAGGACTGGCTAAGATAACACTTTAAAAGAATGCAGAGAAAACAGTGTTTATTTCTAACTTACATAAGTAGCATGCACGATGCCTTCCTTCAGTTGTAGTGTTCCAAAAAGGAGTACATACATATAGAAAGGTACGTACATATTGACTTCATTGCTGTGGAAGTGTAGTAGATTCTGAACAGTTAAAACGTTTGATTTCCTGTAGCCTTGAATTAGTGTATCTCAGATCACCCAGAATCCCATGTGATGACTTGAGGCCATTCAGTGCAAAGCACATCTTGGCCTGTTCTCTAGCCGTAGCGGCAACAGTCTGTTGGGGTAATACATTGTTACAGGGTTCACTTTGATAGTTATGTGACCAGTGAGTAGCTGTGAATCCAACAGCAGCGCCGCTCACATTTTTATTTTTTTTTTGTCTCCAGATACTATTTATTTTGAAATAGTTCCTAGCTGGTGGCAATGCAAGAACCACAGCTGTACACCCTTGCTTCTATGTAATATTTTATCTTTTTGTTAGGAAATGCTGAATATTCATGAGCACTATCAGAAAACAAAATGCTTAATTTCTGCTGATAAATCGAAGCCAGACAAGGCACTAAGTCTGATCAAGGATGGATTTGTAGACAGTCTTAAAAATCTAGTAACTGAACACCAACAGTGGAAGAAAAGAACGAGGGTATGTGGTTATCACATTTAATCTGTATGTTGCACTTGCAAAAGTTTACTATTTTTGTTCTGTAAATCTGTGTGTGTGTGTATGTATGTATGTATGTATGTATGTATGTATATATATATATATATATATATATATATATATATATATATATATATATATATATATATATATATAATTTGCATTAACAACAAATCAGCTGTCCATGAGTGGTTCACTGGTTTTGCATCTTTTCCTAAATTGTGTTCCAACCAGTTGTATACTGCAAACACAGATTAAAAGGAATCCATGTTAAAAAGGGAATGAAGCAAATATGTGATTCTTTGTTAAATTAATTTGCATATGCTCACCCAGAATCCTTTGCAGTTGTAACATCAATGCAGATTTGGGATTTCTGTGGGAAAAGCAAGTCTTATGGCTTGACTTGTGTGCAGATTTTTGTTTAACATTGTATTAAAAAAATATATATATATATATATATATATATATATATATATACACACACCACCCACCACCTACCCCATTATTTTATTTACTAGTTAAAGTGTGGTTCTGCCCCTCAATTATCAATAGTTTGATTGCAGTTAAAATAAACCATATTGATAAGAGAATTATTGATATTTCTTCCACACCTGGGATTTTTACACACTATTTTTATATCTTTGGCGCACACAATATTGCTGCTAAAATACATTAAGGTTTACCACTTGTCTTACCTGGAGCTAAATTAATATTATTTTATTGTTACTTTCTTTATAAAGCTGCCTAACACGGCAGAACACTAGAAATAGGATCTGGTTTTAATGCCATAGATTTCAATAATGTTGGCTAATGTTTGGAAAACACATTTTTATTTTAGCAGGGCATGAAAATTCTAAGCCACCAAGTGAACGATCAGAATACAAGTGACACGTTAAACTAAGATGAAAGCAGACATTTGACCGTTTTTTAAGTTGTTGTATTTTTTTATTTCTTCCTTTAGAAGCCGAGGACGGAAGCAGAGGAAAAAGAAGCTACTTCGCAAGAATCTGAAGTAAGTTGATTAATAAATACAGACCAGACTTTGTGCAAAGTATCCAGAGAAAATGAGCATAGTACACAGTATTTCACGCTTTGCCTACTGTTGAGTGATAATTGCATTTTGTTTTGTGTTATAGGGTTCAGAGAGAGCAAGAGCATTGGCCAAAATCAAGTCCAAATCATACAATTGCGTTACAGTGGTAAGAATCAAATCGTTTTGTTTGTTTTACCTGCTTTCTCGTTTTAGCAGATCTGTCCTTCCTTTTATTGCGAGTACCGGTTTAGTGATGCAGTGTTAGATTTCGTTTTTCTGGCTTTTTTTTTTTTTCCTCCAAAATGTTATCTTGTGCTTTTCTTAGTGAAGACTTATAAAGATGGGGAATGGTTGGGCAGTAGGCTCTAGCCTACATTGTCCCTTTAAACCTTAATTCTTGTTCTCACCTACGAATGGTGGAGTATTAAAACTGAATGTCAAAATTGAGGCTAAAACTGCAATTTTGGTAAAGTTCTCCAACTCAATTATAGACACAGCTTGTCTATTTTAACCTCCGTTTTGACACCTGGATCTCAGTTTTGTGAATAATTGCTTCTGTATAAAGTTAATAAATTGCCGATGTCAATCCCACATGAGCCATTAGTAAGTATGACAGAAGGTGTAAACATTCTTATATTGCAACCATGGAAAGGATGCTAGGATTCGTTTCTACATTTATACAACAATGACTGAATATATAAGCATGGCCGACACACTGTATAGACAAGATTAAAAAAATATATATTTTATTGTACAAAACCCGTGTTGCAAACCATCCAAATAAAGTTTAATGAACCGAGGATAAGCACACACTCATTAGATAAAATAACGGTTTAATTCGCTGCGGGATATATAGGATGAACAGCAGCACAGTCACATGACCGCTGTGCTGTATTTGTCAAACAGAAAGCTAGGTATGTTTGCTTCAGTTGTTCAGGTACCCTGTAAAGCAAATATATTCACATAATCCATTAAGCATGAGAGTTTGAATATCATATTGCCAATAAAAGCTTGGTGTGACAAAACATGATTAGACTTTTGATAATTGAAGAATGTATGATATGATACGGTGGAGCTAACAGTTTAGTGTCTAAATGAATGTCACTTCTTGGAATGTTGCACCCAAAGACCGTCAGCAAATTGCTCTGCATGTTGACGTTTGCTAGCATAAGAAGCACCCAGGATTGGGAGGAAATCCAGATAAATCAGATTGTAAATATTGCTGATAGAGATTTGTATATAGAGAGCATTTGTTTTTTTAGAAACATTACAATCACATAACAGCTTGCTGTAGTGGTTATAGTGCTAGGCGTGCCCTTGCATCTTCCAACAGTAGTCAAACATTTTAAGAAAGATTTGACAACTTGCTTGGGATCCATCAGACACCCAACGCTGCCCCCTCAGTACGTAGAGGATTCTGCACAGAGCTAACCTAGGTGGTACAGCAGGTGCTCACCTGAGAATTGCTGGTCCTGCACGCATCTTACAGGAACCTCCAGGAGGGGCAGCAAAAGGTGCTCTGCAGACCCCAGGTAAGTTTTCAAATAGCCCATATACTAGTTCACCACCTCCTAGAGAGGGTTCTTGAACTAAAACCATTGTTGGAGTGACCCTTTATAGCAACACGTTCGTTGTACAAAACTGCATGTTAAATTCAACGATTCAGAGAAAAAACTTAAAGTATTCTTAACCAATGTATAGAAGTGCTGGGCAAATATCACTTCTCCTAGAGATTAACGGGCCTGAACCTTATTCAATTTAAATGTTTGAGCATTTTACAATACAAGAGGAATGAAGACAATACCTGTGCCATGTGTATAGTCACAGAAGCACTGGTTGCTCAGAGCAGGGGAAAAAGACAGATGGATATAGGAGCAGGTTGCCATAACGTTTATGAAGTGCTATTCTGTCTATATGCAATTCGGACATTGGTGTAATAATAGTGGGTTTATTCTGTGTTCTGCTGCTTAAATTACCAAAACTATGCAGAGTTTGGCTACTCATGCGGTCAGAGAAATAAACCAACAGTCTTGTTTCATGACGAAGTCTTAATGTACTTGCTCACATCTAAGTCTTGGGCTGAATGTATGCAGAACAGGAGGTATGATGGGGCTAAAAAGGCAGTTTCTTTAAATTTTTTATTTTTGCAGTGCATATCAGTTTAACATCCCCGCATGAGGTATCCCAACGACATTCCTCAAGCGTATTTGGAACATATATATAACAGTTGGGTCAGCTATAAAACATGCACAATTTTATATTTATGTGATGAGCAAAATTGTTGGATTCGTCACTTAGCTTATGTGGCTGGTTCTATAGCAAGTATCAACATCTATATCCAACATAAACTTTCAAGTTTAACTTCGATTATCTATCTTAGAATGATATACAGGCTAGTCAAACGTGGGATTGTCTAGGTCTACATATGCATATTCATTCAGTGTTTCACTACCTCTTCTAAGCAATATAATAGGAGTTTGCTTGAAACCTGAGTCTGCATGTGTGGTTTATATTATAGTCATAACAAGAGTATAAACAGAAGCTTTTATGAAGTGCTAGCTTAGTTAAGATAGGTATTGAAATAAAATGCCACCAGGTTGATTTTGGCATACTGAGTTATCATCTGCGTTACCCAGGATGCCCAAACCGACAGTTACTGTGACATGAGCAGTGATTATAATTACAGAGATGTCCATGTATCGGCAAGTATCGCCAGGGAGTTATTTTTTAAGGCTGTCAGTGAGTTCCGCGGTGCACTCCTTGGCTGCCTTTCGTCCTGAGGAGCTGGGGTCGTCCTGAGGAGCTGGGATCGTCGTTGGTTGAGAGGCATCCTGTTCCCAGGCTTGGGGGTGACCCTCGCGGAGTACCCAGGGGTCCCACCGTATTCTGCAGCCTCAGATCGCCGTGTCCACAGTACCCGGTCAGTAGGTGAGTACAGGTGCGGTGCTTTGCAGCCCATAGTGTCCAGATGCAGGTAGCGATATGCTGGAGTTGGTGTGTAGTAAGGACCTCTCCTCCAATGTTGGTCTGTGGGTTTGGTGGTAGGAAGTGAGTTAGTCGCGTCGCTGTCGGCCATTTTGTGAGGGCCGCATGGTAGCCTTAAACTGTCTGCGCTGGGTCGCCCAGGCTTGCCGCCAAGATGTTTGTTTGCCTGGTGGGGACCGGGATAACCCCCGCCGGTCCAAAGGGGGGGGTGAACGGAGCCGGGAGGGCGCCATTCGCATTGCGATTCTCATTACCTGGGGCGGAGAGCGGGGCAGCGGCCGTCCGCTCCACTCCCCTCCCGTGTAGGCCTCAGTCCACCAGCCCTGGAGCATCTCACCAGGACCCAGAACCACCCGGTGTCAGGTGCTCTAGCTACACTGGGACACTCCAGGAGCATATACCACAAACTTCCAGGGCATTCCAAGCTGAGTAAGGTGGGTTTTGTCAACATTATTAGCTGGATTCCTCAGGAGCCATAGTGACTTGCAGCCTGCTAGCATGGCCGCCCGCCCCCCCCCCTAAAAAGGCAGTTTCTGTAACTTTGAAGCCTTCAAAGAGCCAAGTAACATAACAGACACAAAAGGAGTGATAAAAATGCTACTTACAGACACTGAAGACGTGGAGCTGCTGCTGTGTCCGCTATGGCTAGTATAAGGATTTCAGTCTAATACTGGGTGATTAGCAGAGCTCTGACAGGGATTTCTAAAATGGAACAACAGATACCAGTCAGCAGATCAGATCATTTCTAAAAACTGCACTGTCAATGTACTGGAGAAAAACATCATTTACTGAACAGCACAAACATCGAGGAGAAAAACCTCAAATTAAGTAAAAAGAACCTTTTTTGGTTTTGTGGATTGGGACAGAAGTGCTATTCTCTTGCTGCTCTGCCAATTAATATTTAGACTCCTCCTATAATCTCCAAGTAACCGGTTGTACACACCGCATTCTAACAGTGAAGGAGTGGTTACTGAGTAACCTTTTTGTGTGGTTCCTTATTTATTTGAATTGAAATATAAACAAAACATTTTTCTTTCTATTTGTTGTGGTTTTTATTTTTTATTTTTTTCTAACTTGCAACATTTTTTGGTTCAGGCCCCTAAATCCAGACGGCATCGTCAGGTTGAGATGGCTTCTGTCACCCCAGCATCGAATTCTAAAAAAAGGACCAGACAGAAGGCCAGAAAGTCCACAAGGAAGACTGCGATAAAACAGGAGGCGTTGGATTTGGAAGGTAACAAAGTAACACTCTGAATGTTTTTGTTTTAAATGAAAATTCACAATAAATAGAGTTGCCACTGTCTTGAAAACCATTTTAAAATATTTTTTTTTTTTTTGGTAATTTAGTTTTCATTATGCACCCCTCATAAAACTTACCTGTGAGCAGCCGTTATGGTGAAATCAGGCTTGATTCATTTTGTCTAATCCTATGATGCTCATAGAGAAGCCATGAAGACCTACAGTACATCAATGGCTTCGCTCAGACAAAAGAATGTTTCCAATGCTTCTCCATGACAAGTGTTAAAGTTTGGCTTTATCATATCCAACGTGATAATGCCAAACAAAGATCTTCATATTTTGAAGGTCTTAAAGAGGAAGTGCCTCTAGTGGCTGTCTTACATGTAAAAATTGCCATTTCTCAGAAACAGGATTGAATGTGTTCACCAAACTACTTTAGTTTAATGAAGCAGTGTTGGTGTATGGAACATGCTCCTGTAGTCTCACTGCTCAATTCTCTGCCTTTTAGGAGTTAAATAATTTTTGTTTCTGGTTATGCAGCTTTAGCAGCACCTCCCCTGGCTGTGACTGACACTGACAACTAGTGATGTCCCGAACGGTTCGCCGCAGACTCCAGTCAGCAGACACATTCCAGCCAATCAGCAGCAGACCCTCCCTCCCAGACCCTCCCACCTCCTGGACAGCATCCATTTTGAAGCTGCATTCTTAGTGAGCTGTCCAGGAGGTGGGAGGGTCTGGGAGGGAGGGTCTGCTGCTGATTGGCTGGAATGTGTCTGCTGACTGGAGTCCGCGGCGAACCGTTGGGGACATCACTACTGACAACAAAACGGTTTCACTTTCAATGTGAGAGCACAGAGTGTTTAATTAAATGAAAATTAATGATTAAATGAATGTGCAATAAAATAAGTTTAAACATTAGATCTCTTTACAGGAAGTGTGTAAGAAGGCTGCATAAACAAAACGATTTAACGCCTTCCAAATGGCAGAGAATTGAGCTGTGAGACCGTACGACATGAGCTCTACACCAAAATCACTTCATTAAGCCAATTTTTCTTTTATGTTTTTTATATTTAATGGAATTTAAAGGAACACAGAGGGCACCATAACTAAAATTCAATTAAGTTGTTATGGTGCCAGTAGGTCACTAGCGCTGACTTACCTTCATGGGCTGAACAGTTAACAAAGGGATTAACCCCAAAGTCTTCAGTTTGGCTCCAGCGCCATATTTTCTCACTCAGTTTTGTGAATGAGGCACTATGGATGAGCTGAGTTTGCTAGCCAATCAGTGACACCCCTGTCCGAGGCCTCAGACTACAGAGGAGGAGAGGAGGTTCGGGGCAGAGTTGCCCTGTGCCAGATTGAAGACTTTGTAGTTAAACTGTTCGTTAACCGTTTAACCTCTGAAGGTAAGCAGATGCCAGCTACATAGCGTACAGATGAAACGCGTGGTTCAGAATAAGTGGAACTTACTTGATGTGATGCTTCCTTTACAGATGACAAAGAAGGCGGCAGCAAGCGAAGACCCAAAAGTACAAGACTGCCCATCATTCCAGAGGAGGATTCATCCTCTAGTAGTGAAGGTATGTCCATGTTGAGAATCACAACTTGAAACTTGATTAGATGTTAGAGAGGTAGTGACCATGGCTAACCAGGAGAGCAGAGTAGGGTAAGAATGTTTATCGCCAAGCTGCTTGGTTTTATAAAAAACAAACAAATAAACCACTAATTTAATTGCACTTTTTACATGTCACAGAATACAAATGCCCACATATTGTGTCTAGCATGACAGGGTGCTCAGGTTATTTTTATGTAGCTCTTATTTTTAGTTCGTTATAAGCACAAACACTGTAAATACAGACTTCTTTTACCACAGCAGCAGTATATAGCATAAACAAAATAATATACCTGTGATTCAAAAACCTAAGTGCAAAAATTATTGAAACAATATACAAACATAAATGTTGTCTTCTCTTTTTATTGTAGATTTACAACCTCGTATACATTTGTATATTTATTTTTTGCACTTGGGTTTTTCATTCACTGGTATATTTTGTTTTTGCGATCTATCTTAGTGGCGGAGAATCACTTTATATACTAGATTTTTTTTTATTGAAGCACCTTACACCCTTATTTCACCCCCTTTTTTTTATTTAAGCAGATGTAGTCATGGTGGTTGCAGCAACTCTTTAAGTTTGATTTCTATGGCCACATTTATTCATTAAGACAAGAAAAACACAACATACGTTTTCCTTCTTTACAGAAATGCCGGTCGTAAAACGGAGGAGAACTTCGAAAAAGAGGGGAAAAACCTCCTGATGTAAAAATTTTGATTCCCCCAGTACATGATGCGTCTGTAAATAAATTAAAACACGTATTTCTTGAAACCTGGCATTAGTGTTGTAGGAACTGTCACCTAAAATATTTTTTTTTTTTTTTTTAAATGCATATGTTAAGTATTCTATCACTTGTGAAAGAAGCAAGGTATGGACATCAAACCAGGGTCCATCATTTAGCCCCTTATCTCCATCAGGTGCCTTGAATGTTTGATATTTGATTCCTTTGTTAATTGAGTGGAGTTGGGACATGTATACAGAGTTATTCACTAAAGTGGGAATTCAAAGTGAATTTTACATTTTAGACCAAAGTAGGTGAACTGGACACAGCTTAATTCAACAGAACAATCAAAGCTTAATGTAATGGTCCTGCTGTCTATAGACTGTCCCTGCAGGCTTTTTACTGTAAACATGGCTTATTCAGAGAAAAGGCAGTATTTACATTGCCGCCTAGTAACACCTCTAGGTGCAGTCACTCAGACAGACACTAAAGGTGCTTCCTAGTCCAGTGCTGCACAGTATGCAGGACCTACATTCATTGTCGCCCTGCTCTGCATTGAGGCACTGAATGTTCCTCATAGAGATGCATTGATTCAATGCCTCTTTAGGAGGAAATGCTGATTGGCGCAGTGCAGCGTTTTGACATTCATGTGCAATAGCCTCCCAATGCTTCACCAGTGGCAGCTGATAACCAGCATCTCCAAATTATCTGAGGTTAATACAGTAAAAGCTGCAGGAGGAGCTTGCAATTTCACTTCAGTTTGCTCACAAAGACTGAAAAGGTAAACTTTAAAACAGTTTTATTATGGTGACTGTCCCATTAAATTGCTTTCATTTGTAATATGAACAGTTTACCCAATAGAAAATGATCAGTTTGTTATGTATTAAGATGGCTAAAATGATAGGAGTTGCAAGCTTATGTCTGCTACTGAAATTTACCCTGAACTCACATTGAATTGAACATAATGGTAAATTTGCATCAATGCACCATGGTGGTTCTGCCTTTGAAAATAGACATTGGGTTTACTAAAGGGAGAATTGTCAGGAAATCAAAATGAATTTCAAAGTCAAGGCCAAGGTAACCGAACTGGAGAATTTCTCCAGGTAGGATATTGTGGCTTTAAATTTGAAATTCTCAGAAATCACGTTGGTAAATAACCCCAATAGTCCAGCAATGATCCTAAAGCCTTCAGGACACATGCCATATCTTGCAAGCTGCTCTCAATAGCTGGTACAGTAATGCTTGGGAGACACTGGGACTCCTGTCATAATTAAGTCCAGCAGTTTATGTGCTGTGTTAGAAGAATGCCATAGTAGTCAGTGTTACAGACGGAGGATTGTTTTTATTCGAGATTAATGGAGATGGTGCGTGAATTTACACCCAAGCTGAATTGGTTCTAGAAAATAAGATCTGCGCAATTTTATTCTGCTTTTGTTAAAGATCTAATTGTAGATAAGCCGTAGGTTCCTAGTAAAACTAGCATGAATCCTTAATCATATCAGACCTACAAACCATCAAGCCGCACAGTTTCCATCACAGCTCTGTGTCATTCCGATCGATAGACCTGGTAGCTGTTATATAAAATTCTATTTGTTACTTATGGGTTTTGCACTTTGTAAATGCTACAGCATACGCGTTTTATAGTACACACCAAGTTATATCCAAACAAAGCTTAAAGTAGATAAGGTAAAACATGCTCTGACATGGATGGTTGGTAACAGCTCTGTTTTTCTGCAATAGGTAGAAGTACAGGAGAATGATAAAAGGAATGGTCGCTTATGCAGTTAATGCATCAATAACTATTCCAGTATAATCTTAGTCTTGGCTTACTAAGAAAAAAAACATGGTCTCCCTACACCCACTGCTGTCAACTTATGAATTAAGAAATGAAATGATAAATACTGGGGAAATACAAAATCTATTTCTCTGTGTGAAAACTTGAGTACTAAATCTAAAAGGGAACATTGCCAAACTCCATACAGTTCAGTAATTTGAATGGTTTCAGGTCATATAGAAAACTGTCAAAGAGCCCATAACTTGATCTTTTAACTTTTGTTAGTATTTTGCTGTGAGTCCATCAGGACCACAAATAGATTGAGGTACAACTGCTTAATGCCAATTTTACATGTAGAACTATGGATACATTTACCTAATGAGATATTCTAAAACGATCTGCCTTGTCACATTTAAATGAGCACTCAAAGTACCATAACAACTACAGCACATAGACAATGAACGTCACCCAGTTGATCTTTGGTAAGCTGTAAAACTATTAGCATAGGGTTTTACTACATACATTAGAGAGTGTCAAGGTACTCCTGACTCCATAACCACTATAACATGCTGCACCAGTTAGGGCTCTTTGAGTGTACCTTCAACAGTACTATCAACATTGAATAGGTTTAGTGCTGATATTATATATGAAATAGTAAAATGGGAAACCGGAATATGCATGATGGTTCTTAGCAGCAGTAACTATACAATTGACAGTTTAACACTAGCACTTGAGAGGTTAAACTCAAAGAAACGTTTGATTGGTGTAAAGTGGAATGGCTACTTTGTTTGGCATTTTTTTGACTTGCAGATCAGGGCCTTGTTGTTTCTACTGGTTGTTGGCACGTGGAAGATACGCTCTGAGGAGTGTGTCATCGACCCCTTTTGCACTTAATATTTTTGAAAGCAGCAGCTTATTGTAACAATAGCTGCATTTACAATTTAAATCTCCCATAAACCAACAGCCCTCACCAGACACGGATATCATTCAGGGAGCACTTGAAAGGTCTGCATGTCTCCAAGACAGGATGGCAGATTTAAGGGAGAGAGATCACAACTTCCTCTTTCATCATACATGTAAGTGTGCAGGGACACTTACTAGAAACATAATTAATTACAGCATAGGTAATAATGTACAGGTCACCTGTCTTCACTGTGATTTAATTTTGTAAATCATGTGCAACACGTTTACAATTTTCATACATACATAGTGCTGGACATTTATAGACAGGGAAAAAGTATAATATTTGTAAAGACAACAATTATGGTATCCCCAGGTAAATGCGTAAAGGATCCTGAAATTCAAATTGGGTAAAAGATGAACCAATTAAGTGTCTCTTCTTTAAAGGACCACTATAGTGCCAGGAAAACAAACTCGTTTGAGTCTGTTTGTCCCCCACCCTCATGGCCGCCCGGCTGAAGGGGGAGGAAGAGGTTAAACACTTACCTTTCTCCAGCGCCAGGGACTCTCCTCCTCCTCCCGACGCGCGCGTATTCAGTCAGTCCATAGGAAAGCAATTTTCAATGCTTTCCTATGGACGCTGGCATCTTCACTGTGAAAATCAACTTTTACTAGCGCATACCAAATAGCAGTCAACTGACACTCCAAGGAATAGCTACCTTGTTTATTACGGCTGCTTAGTCCTCAAATCAATCCGATATTATTACCATTTCACGGTCTCTATACTTTTTCTATTTGGCAAGTTCGGTGGTTTAAGTGTAAGAGTAGAATTTGTTAAGGGGTGCCCTCGAAGGTACATCTGCATCTGATATCAGGAGAAACAGGTTAATTATGACTTTCTCCCTTACAGCTTTACTTTCAAAGCTGCTCTACCTCGCACTAGGAATATATGGTTACAATAATATATTAACTAACACTTGTTACATTCTTCTATTCCAGTGTAATATTTTGCCTTAATAAGAAGTACTCTATAATACAGGGAGGACTTGTTCAGCATATTATATTTTCATTTATTTCTCTTTTTAATCCTATAACACAACAAAAGTTAAGTTTTATTTACATTTTTCTACCTATTACTCTCACAGAAAAGACACTTATTGGTTCATCATTTTTTTTTTTCTTTTACCCAATTTGAATTTCACTATTTACGGGTTATCTCCCTTTTTTCAGGAACCTTAAAAGTTTTTCTTTTCTACATATTGGCTCGATATGTTTTTTTTTATTTTTTTTTATTTAACGTGTAAAGCACGTCCTGCAACTTCTATGGCGAACCCCTGCGCTCAGAATTCTCCGACGCTGTGCAAGTCATTTGATAGCAGAGTGACTTAACGAGCCCTAATTACATATAATATGTCACACTGTTTTGGCATAGCCAGGGCACACTGGACATATAGTCGCAGCCTCATTGGTGCAGAATGCAGACATAAAACAACATGGAAGGAGGAATGCAAGCTGTTAAAAGATTGAAGTAGTGCCATTTTCAAAGATTCTCTTTTAAAAGGAAGACTCCAAGCACCATAACAAAGTAAAAGAAATTGGTCTAGATGAATATTCTTGTTCTTGGGTAGAACATTGGCTTAAGGATAGAGTACAACGAGTTCTCATTGATGGTAAATTTTCAGGCTGGACAAAAGTGGTAAGTGGTGTCCCTCAGGGTTCTGTTTTGGGACCGCTTCTATTTAACATGTTTATAAATGATCTTGCAATAGGCATTGAAATCCATGTTTCGGTGTTTACAAAGTTCTGTGTCCTCTGCAAAGTAATAAAATGTGAGCAGGATATTGCTTTGCTGCAGAGGGATTAAATAAATAAATAAATAAATGCAGATTAAAAAAAAAAAAAAAATTGCACTTTTATAAATGAACCTTGTTACAGCACCTGTCTGGTACAACAGGTCCTGTTACTTCCTGGTTGCTTAGCTCAGTGGAGCTAAACTCAAGAGGCAGCAATTGCCCAGAGCACCTCCCTTGCAAACACTTCTCATTAAACTGCATTGGGAAATCTGTGATTGGACAGTCACAGAAAGTCTGGGTGGTTTTAGAAGGGGGGGGCTTGCAAAGGCTGCATACAAGAGATCTGCAGATTTTGCAAGCTATTTTTAAATACACACCAATAAAAAAAGAAAAAAGATAAATACATGGCTGTTTCCATATACCAAACTGTTTTTTTATTTTATTTTTTTATTTGGGAGGGTCTCTTTAAGTCAAGTGAGCCAGCCTAATCTTTCCCTTGAAATTCTAGGATTCTGTCTGCCTGACAGTATCCTAATCCCAATATACATCAGTATTTTGCACTTGCTGGATGAAATACAGGGAGATTCCCACAGTTAGGAGTGGTTATCACTTCAAATCCATTGTCCTGTATTGTTACTAAATTCCCATGCCCTTAATTGACCTGGTAAACCAGGGCCGCCATCAGGGGTGACAACCATGCTTTGGCAGTCCCGGGCCCCACAACTACTCTCTGCACATATATATAGCGATGATCGCTATATATATGTGCAGCCGCGGGCCCCCGGCTCCCTGTATTTGCAGAGGGGGCCCAGCAGACTGCAGGAGTACTTTACAGATCTTCCCTCTCTCTAACTCCCGCGAGAAATGCGGCCGTCAAAGCGTTGCCACGGATTACCATAGCAATGCTCCGCACGGTGCACACACCACATCTCGATGGAGTTAGAGAGAGGGAAGATCTGTAAAGTGCTCCTGCAGGCTGCTGGGCCCCCTCTGCAAATACAGGGAGCTGGGGGGGCCCACCAGGGATGGAATCTCCCCTCTCCCTGAACCAGGTAAGAAACAGGGAAGGGGGAGTAACATTTATTACATTACATGCATACACTAGTAAACACACACACACTCTGCATCCACTCCCCTGACACACCTTGTGCTTTGTCATGGGCCCCAAAATTTCTGGTGGCAGCCCTGTGGTAAACTGTCTGTCTAGACTAGTGGAAGCACTAAAGACAGCACTCTGTAAACATATCAAATACACAGACTGCTAACTGATGACATAACACACGAGTCACAATGAGTTACATCACAAACAATGCGTCTTCCAATAACTCTCAGTGAAAGGAGAGGAGAGTCATTACACAGCAGGATGAAAGGTAATCTGTCTGATTGCAGTGATCATCAAAAGACGTCATTTGCAGGGAGAAAAAAACATTAAAAAAATTACCAATTATTTTTAACTAGGAAACAAGGTAGGTCTAAAGGTAAGGCATGATAAATATTTTTATTTTTTTTTAAACTTTATTTTTGTGTGAAAAATCTTGTCTTAAATATTACAAACAGTATGTGTTAGACATGTGATACTTGACGTACATGTTAACATTGTGTCTGTTACATCACCATTCGTTCATTTTTAAATTAAACAGGTTACAGCGTAGATCTTTCACATTTTTTGTTTTGTATAACTTGGAGAAAAACCAGCAGTAAGCAATAAGAAAAACCTTCTAAGGCGAGCAGTTTTCGGTGCCTGTAGTGTCGCTTGGTATTTGGGTTGGGACTTAGTGACTTGGCCCTTTTTTGTGTAGCCCTGTAGGTGTCAGAGGGCCGCAGTGTAAGTTAGGGTGTAGGACTCTGTACCTGTGTTCCCTCCCGTGTGGAAGGTAGAAAATTAAGAAAATTTATAAGAGAGAGAAATAGTCAACAAGGGGGGCGGGGAGTATGCCGGTGTGGCGTACCGCGCGGCGGGACCGGAGTTCCACATTTTCTCAAAGAAGGTCAAAGGTCCCTTCCCCGCCTTTTGCATTTGGGGGTGTTGTGTGAAGTCTTTCAGCTGTAAATACCGAAATAAATCTGCGGGTGTGAGATGTGCTTTCTGTTTGAGGTGTTCAAATGGCACTACATCATTGTCCTCAAACATGTGGCAGATTCTTTGCAATCCCACTTTTTCTAGGTTTGCGAACTCTCTAGGTGCCATACCTGGGGGGAAGGCTCTATTTCTCAGTAGGGGTGTTAATGGGGATGGTGAGGTCGCCAGTTTGTATTTGTGTGCCGAAGTATCACATATTCTTAGGGAGTTTAATATTGCCGGGCAGTTTGTTCTCAAAATTGTCCTATCTTCTTTGGGTACCCACATGTGGTATTGGGGTAGGTCTGGTCCGGTTAGGAGGGACTCTAAGCCTACCCATCTCCTTATTTCTAGTGGAGCGTGCCACATGGCCACCTGGGCTAGTTGTGCTGCTAAATAATAAAAATATTAATGTGGTAGTCCCACTCCCCCTCTCTGTTTCTGTCTATATAGGATGTTTCAAAGATATTCTATGGCGTCGGTTTTCCTATACGAAATCTCCAATAGCTTTTTGTAGTGGGGCTAGATCTGATTTTAGGAGTTTAATGGGTAGTGCCTGGAAGAGGAACAATATACAGGGAAATACATTCATTTTTACCGCATGAATACGTCCGATCCAAGAAATGGGTTTATCTAGCCGTTTTTCCATATCCTGCATCAGTGTTCGTATCAGCAGTGCGTAATTCAGTTGATATATTTTGGTCGGATCGCTCAGTAATTGTATCCTTAGATATTTTATGTGGCCCCTTGCAAAGGGGATGCCATGATTTGCTCATAGTGCCGCCGTGTCCGCTGCAGACAGGCCCATCGGCAGAGCGCTGAATTTTTCTGAATTGGCCTAGTAGCCCGAGAAAGCTGCAAATTGTGAGAGGACTGCCTGTAGGGCGCCCATGGATTCTTTCGGGTTTGTCAGTGTCAGGAGAACGTCGTCCGCATAAGCGGATACGAGGAATTCCTGTCCTCCCACTGTAATCCCTTGTATGAGAGGGTGTTTATGTAGAGCTTGTAAAAGTGGTTCCAGAGTGAGCACGAACAGGAGCGGGGATAGGGGGCATCCCTGCCTTGTTCCGTTCCCCAGCTTAAAGGGTTTAGGCCTGGCGCCAGCGATTTTCACCTGTGCGTACACTTGGTTATACATGGCTTTAAGGGTGGACACGTATTTTTCCGTCTCTTCCAAAAACGTCAGGAAATTAAAAAGATACGGACATTCTACCCTATCAAAGGCTTTCTCCGCATCTATCGATACTATTACGGTAGGTGTGTCCGTGGTCGTTTGTCACTAAATTAGGTCGATGTTTCTTCTGGTGTTCTCAAATAGTTGTCTGTTGGGTATGAAACCCACTTGGTCCAGGTGGATTAGGATTTTTAAAAAGGTGTTGAGACTGTCAGCCAGACTTTTTGCTAGGATCTTTATATCGTTATTGATAAGGGAGATGAGTCTGTAGTTGTCTGGGAGTAAAGGGTCTCTCCCAGGTTTGTGGAGTAGTATTATGTTAGCCATTGACATCTCCCTCTCTGGGTTCCCACCTTCCATAAAGTCGTTGAAGAGCCTTTCCAAGCGGGGAGAGAGTTCTTCTCTGAAGGTTTTGTAATCCGCTCCGTCTAATCCGTCTGGTCCCGGGGCTTTATTGCCTTATCTATGTCTTCTCCTGTAATGTTATCGTTCAATAGTTGAGCTGCTGCTGGTGGGAGTTTCGGTAGGTTGAGATTTTTCAGGAAGGCTCTCATTCGCGATTCCGTCTCTTCCTGTCTCTGGGTGTGTGATTGTAGAGCTTCTCGTAGTAGTCTGTGAAAACCTGAGTTATGTCTGAGGGGGTATTTTTGATGGAACCACCTTTATGTTTGATCGAGGTGATGTGTGTCCTGTCCTGTCGTGGACGTAGTGTCCTAGCCAATAGTGTCCATCTTATCTGTTTTCTCATAATAAGATCTCTTGGTCCATATGAGCGCTTTCGCTGTGTCTTCCAATAGTAGTTCGGTGATGGATCGTCTGGTCTCTGTTCTATGTTCCAGGATCTGTGGGGTTGGTGCGGTCTTGTGTTGTAGTTCCACCTTTCTTAGTTATTCTAGTAGGTGGGCCAGTCTCTGCGTCCTTTGAGCTTTTTTCCGTGTGGCCAATTTGATGCATGTACCCCTAATTATGGCCTTGTGTGCGGCCCATATAACACCTGGGGACATGTCCTCCGTTTCGTTTGTGGTGAAGTAATCTTGAAGTTCTTTCCAGATTGGTTCCTGGGATTCACGATCTCTCAACAGGTGGGGGCTTAATCTCCAGTTCCATGGTGAAGCCGTACTTAGATTTCCCAATATCAACGATACGTCGGCGTGGTCTGACCACGTTATGGACCTTATTGTCGAATCAACCACTCTGGCCATACTAACATTCACCAAGAAATTATCTATCCTGGAGTACGTCCCATGCGGGGCAGGATAAAAGGTGTAGTCTAGCGAACTCGGGTGTTGAGCCCGCCACGCATCTATCAGATCTGTGTTTTGGATGAATTCGTGGAATATTTTGTCCTGGCTTCCTCTCCCCTGCGATCTTTGTTGGCCTCTTCCGGAGCTTCTGTCTGTGGCTGGGCACGGTACGGCGTTCATATCACCCCCTACAATGAGCATGCCATATGGTAGGGCTTTGATGTTTGTGTGTATGTTCCCCAAGAAGACTGTGTCGGGCGCATTAGGCGTGTAAATATTGATCAGGTGTACTGGATGGGAGTATAGGGTGCCTGACAGTATTACATATCTCCCTTCCGTGTCTAGGTCTGATGTTACTATAAAGATTGGGCATTTGTTATGTATGAGTATAGCTACCCCGTTGCCCTTACCATGTGATCTGGCTTCGTATGTAGTGGAGTATGTGCGGTCCCGCAATTGGAATGTAGTACGTTTGAAATATGCGTCTCCTGTAAAAAGGCTATGTCAGATCCTAGTCTTTTTATCTCTCGGAACATCAGTCTTTTTTGGGGGGCATTCAGTCCTTTAACATTAATAGATGTCAGTTTTAAAGTCATCCCTGCAGTTGGGTAGTGCGCCTAACCTTGGTTTCTGACTCTTGAACAAGGTGTGTCCCAGCGTCGTGGACCCTCCAGTGTGGCTCAGAGTCACCGTGCCGCCCGATCGCCGTCACCAACGTAGAAGGGGAGATAAGATGTGTGTCTGGACTTACTAGCCACCAGACTGGTGTGGGGTTCCATTTCCTGTCCCATGTCCCTACCAACTTGGGGTGTATGAGATAAGGGTACCTACACCTGGTAACTACCACACCACTTATGTATCGTGTTTTGTGCTATATCAGTGGACTTGTCAAGACTCAATAGATGGACTTTGGTTTGCCCTATAGTCGCTGAGGTCCCCTAAGGGCTCTCCTTATGCGTCTCGTGTGGGGAGGTGGACGGCTTCCCTGGCCCTATTTTCCTTCAGTTATTGCTTAAGTAGGCTGACGTGAGGATTAAGTTCTAATGCGACTGATTTCCAGGTTGTCTCGGGGGTACTGGGCTGTTTCCCTGTGCGTGGGGTTGTATGTGGTGGGGGGCGTCTCTATTGTAGCCATATAGGAACTAACCCTTTAGGGCTTTTGAGTGCTCCCTTTGCTGTGTCTATGAGCGTACTATGGTGTGGGAGGGTTGCTATGCTCTGAATGTGTCAGGGTTGATATGGTTTTGCAGAGCGTTGATTCTTGATTAGAGTATCGTATTCCCCTGTTCGATATAGATAGGCATTACAGCCCTCCTATCTCTGCGACCCATTTTGTAAATGAGAGGGGAGGTCTCTTTGCTGGGTACGGGAGGCATGTAACCAGAATTGTCGATCTTGCATGAACATTTTCAAACACAAAGAATAACTGCGATTAACACATATGTGCATATGCACATATGTACATATGTCTCTGTGGGCCTTTCCTTTACCCCTTTATTTGCTCGTAATGTCCGGTCTGCTCCGATATTAAATGCTATCGTATTAATGTAGGAGCTATTGGAGTAGGACCTGGGTTATCCTGTAGTCGGGGCATATTTAACATCGGGAAGTAGTTTTTAAGAAATTGCATAGCTAGTTGGCATTAGTGTGTCAGTGTCTGGTCCTTCTGTACTGGACCCGTGTGTCCGTTGTTTGCTAGGGCTTTAGTATGTCCGTGTCCTGGGGGGGGGGGGGCAGCTGCGCTGGAGTCCCAGGTCTGTGAATAGTGCTGAGGCGTTATCTCCTGGTTGTAAGATGTGTGTTCTGCCATTTTGGAATGCCAGTAGTTTAAAGGGGTAACCCCATGCGTAGCGAATGTTCGCTGCTCTTAAGGCTTCTGTAATAGGTTTCCACTCCCGCCTTCTTTGTAAGGTGGCTGGTGCCAGATCTTGATATAGAGTCAGGTCGGATCCTTGGTATGAGATTGTACCGTCTCTACCTCTTTTGATTAGCGCTTCTTTGGTCTGAAAGTGTAGGAAGCGGATGATGATATCCCGCGGGGTGTTCGCGTCCATACTCCTGGTGCGCAGGGCTCTGTGTGCTCGCTCTATGTGCCAGAGGTGATCTGGTAGGCCCGGTAGCAGAGGCCTGAGGATTGCTGTCACTATATCGATCACTGGCCTTCCCCTGTTGCCTCCGGTACGCCCCTGAGGCGCAAGTTGTTCAGACACGATCTGTTCGCCATGTCCTCTATGGCAAGTTCAGCTGCAGCCATCCTGGTGGTCGGTTGAATAATCTGGAGGATCGCTATTGTGAGAGGCTGTAGTGTCTTCCAGGCGATTTTTCGAACCTCGTGGTGTGGTCATCTATGGCCTGTAGTTCTCCTCTCAGAACGCGTGTGGATCGCTCTATCTCCCCTGCCAGGTAATTTTTAACCTCAGTCAGGGTTGCCAGAATCGTTGTGGTCTCTTCTGTAGCGTTTGGTGTTCCCCCAGTTGCGGCTGCAGTTTTTGTCGGCGATCCCTGTGATCCTGCGGTTTCCACATCCACGTCGCCCCCATCTTGTGGGCCCACGGGTCCTGCGCGTGGGGGCGAGAAATATTCTGCTACGGAGGCTCCCGATTCCTGGCCCTTCTTTGGTTGTTTTTTGTCCGAACTCTTCTCCATCTTGATGGACTTGTTTTGTATATTTTTATAAGTTTAGCACGCTTGTATAGGCTTTCAAGTGGTGTGGTCGGATCGGAGCTCTAGGCAAACACGTCCAGCTCGCTCCGTGTCCAGGCCACGCCCCCTCGATAAATAATTTCAATAAGTTATTAACATGTTTAGGAATAGTTATATAGATATATAGAAATATAAATAATATTATGGAAATCAGAATGTGAATGTCTTCAATCTAGTATTATAAATTAAAGCGATTAGAAATAAAAAAAAAACATTTATTGCAAGAATGTATCATTTGCCTTGAGAAATTAGAAACCAATCTTTGATTCAAATATTAATCAGATCACTGGATCAATTAATTATTCACCAATATGATAGAATCTAGAACCTTGTATATCATACTTTACTTAAAACAATAAAATCAAATCTCATACACATATTTTAAAAGATTAGGGAATTGAAAAAGCTCCACAAGGCAATAGTCCGTGTCAGTCTTAGTTCAAGGGTCGCGCCAGGCCAGATATTTTATAGGTTCCTGCTGCCAATATATTTTAACATGGTTTTATGACTGACCCCTCTAGTGCAATTTGGAACAGGTCACTGCTCACATAATGGGAAGCCTGTGATTGTAAGTCAGATGAGGAATAATGGCACTACTCAATAAATACTTATCCTTTCAAAGACCTTCTGGCACCTGGTGAAAAGGCCAAAACAGGTTCACTCAGGAGTCCATTGAGCTCTAAGTGCAGCCATGGTCAGGGGACACTGGAAGCGATTCTTGGTCTGCTCAAAGTGGGCAATGAGCTTTTTAGAACATATCTTAGAAATTAAAGTGGGCCAGCAGCCGGCTGTAAATTGCTAGTGAATGTACAGATCAAAATGTAACCAGCATGCACAGTTACTCAATAAATAAATCAAAATGCTCTGGCTACAGTGATCTTTCTATGTTTTCACAGAATAGTTTGGTACGTGTTGGCGTTTTTCACAGAATAGTTTGGTTGTGTGAGGAATTATTTGCTTTGGGAGAGGAGAATTATTAATAATAAAGTTTCCAGGAATTTTATTTTTCAATGATGTCATTAAGCAGATATTGGCATCCACAAAACTGTCAGATGTTAGATTTTCTCAAAACTGTATTTCTGTTTTAAGGCACAAAATATCTAAAGCTGTATTAAAGTCTAAATATCTAAAGACAAAGAACTTGCCATAGTGTCAGAGGAAGGCATTGAGCAGTGGGATAAGGGGTTATTAACTGGACAGGAGATCCCTGGAGAATCTATTCCTATCTCCATTCCATGGCCCACACGTGGACTAGTGGACGCTCAGACCCCATGTTCTAAGCAGTGTGTGTTTACTGTATAATAATCTATTTATACTTTATATTGTGGGATAGAAGATAGGCCTAGCCTGCTCTCCTTGATCACCATGTCGCAGGGTTCTCCTTGCTACCTTACTGTAAGAATTAAACAACCAGCCTGTCTATTCATATCAAACTTATTTAAAAAAATGTTTGTAAACCACCAACCCATACATTTATTTAATATTAGGAAGAGGTCTTCTCTAAAAAAGAAACCAAAAAAAGAAACCGTTAAAATAAATAACTTCTATACTGTATCCAAGAGTGTCACTCAAAGCAACCAAACTCATCTTCTGCATTCTCAAATTTGTTCATTAAAAACCAACAACAGGTCCACATATATATATGTAAAATATAAATGCCACCCTTTAATCCAAGCTAATCATTTGGTGTGTCCCAGGGTTTATTACCATTGTCCCTAATACAGGAGGTTGCAATGTTTAATCAATACAGTCTCTAAATATTCATTTAACAGGACTCCTAAAATGCCAAGTTTGCCCAGGGTTGGCCCAGCCTTTTACCCCATGATGCTCAGGGGTATGGGCAGACGTGGGTTAACTGGTTTGGACCAAGAAAAAAAAAGCTGATCAGGACAGGAGGATGTCATTTTTTAGAACAGAGAATGTTATTGTAAATGTAGGTCATTGGTCTCACTGTGATACTATCCAGCCAATGTACAGATCAAACAATCAGATGCCTCAATTTGTGGCTGAGGATGTATTCACGCTGCATTGTGCAATTCATGCAGTTTTTGCTATGTGTGATGATACTCAATGGACAGAGGGTCTATTGCCTGTGCTGTTTAAACCCTTTCATTACCAAGACGATGAGCAGAGACCCACTTGGCAATCATGGGTTAATGTGACATTGTATAAGGGAATGGTACTGAGCTCTGAGCTCACCTGAAGTAAAGGATGAAGCAGGCAGGGGAAGGCACAGCCTGGCTGTAATGCAGGCCAGCTGCAGCAGCAGTACAGCCCTGGCCCCCATGCACACCTCCTGTAGCTGCAGTAGAGGCAGTGCTGGCTCCCATGCATGCTGTAATATGAAGCTGCACCCGGCTCGCTGCTTGCTGACCGGCTAGAAGAGGCTGCTTAGTGCTCTCCATCACACCATGGCATCAGACAGTAAGTGCTGGGGGGCAAGGGATGGGGAAAGTCATTCTGTTTACATTGTATCCCCAGGAAGATTCCAACCCACTTCTCTGGCAAACCTGAGCTGAGATAATGGAGGGGGAGGGATTGGATGCACATATTAAACATTGCTTGTCATTTTCTGGTAAAACGCAGCCAGGGTTATTAGAGATACATGTGTACAGATTGTGTTTATATTCCATCCATACTAAAATATAGGTGCATGGATTCTAATGTGTTTACATCACAGCTGAGATCGTATGTGTCTGTGTGTTTGTACTGTTACACTGTGTGTGTGTAATGTTACATTGTGTATGTAGGTTTGTAATGTTACAATGTGTGTGTGTAATGTTACATTGTGTATGTATGTTTGTAATGTTACATTTTGTGTCTGTGTGTTTGTACTCTTACACTGTGTGTGTGTAATGTTACATTTTGTGTCTGTGTGTTTGTACTGTTACACTATGTGTGTGCGCGCATATAATCTTCTGTCAGTGGAGGTCTGTGTCCATTGCTGTCCAGTCCCCCAGGGTCACTAGGTGTGCTGCATTCCTCCCATCTGGGGCAGCACTGCAATGGGGGTATTGCAGTGGAATTTGATGCTGCTGGGATTCTAGAAGTTCTCTTGTTTATATGATGTTAGGCTCATGAATCAAAGCAAACAGCAAGTGATATGATGTATTTGTTAAATTCTTTATGACAATTTGTGAGTGATGTGTTATTCCAAGGTAAATAATAATGTAATTTATAGTATATACAGTGTGTTATGGTTTTTTGCAGTTTATGGGGGAGGGTACACCTTTGTTATCATGCTACTCATCCTTGAAGAGAGAGAGAGGGTTCATCACCGATAATAAGTTATACATCTTTCCACCCTCTCAAACAAGGAGTACTGTCCAAACTTGGCCCAAACTGATAACGCTAATGCAGAAGTGTAGGACTCCCAGTTTTTCTCAAACCACTAAAAACAGTTTGAGATAGAGCCAGGGGAAGGTGACCTGCAGTGGTCATGTTAAGGATAATTTGATCCATTTACCGTGCAACTTGTACGGTTAAGGGATTTCGAGAGATCGCGCTCTTACTTATGTCAAATAAAAAAGAAGAAGAGATAAGGGTGCGCCTAAAATATATGGTAAAACATATACACAATATATGATAAAATAAGCAAATATAAAATGATAATAATAAATATAAAATAATAGTCCAAAAACACTTATCAAGAGTCCGTAATGGTGAGATATATTAAGAAGACAGGAAATCCTGAGACGTCAAAGTGGAGTGGAATCTTCACAGTGATATACTTGAATCCAATGAGGATCATATGGAAGGGAAACAGAAACAGGAACTCCAATGGTACAGTATGTCAGCGAAATTAAAATTCTAAATTAATAAAATAGCCGTACTCACACTCTCCAGAGCTAGATCCCAGCTCTGGTATTCAGCATGTGAAGTGGAACAATCC